TAGTCGATTAAAACAAACAAGCAGCAGCCAATTGTTTTTCCTTTTTGTATGGGCTCTTAGTAGGCGTGGCAGCTATGAATTCATGTTTACTTCGGGCTTCTAGAATTAGCCGACGAAACTGGCTAACCACTTCAACTATTTATAATCTAAACATCAAGTTTGTTTGGGTAGACGTTAAATGCCATGTTCTAGTAGCGCTGTTAAAATTTCCCTTGGAAATTTTTTTTTGTCAATAATTTTTAATGAAATTGCGTTATATGTTATCTGGATTGATGAGAATTCCCATTTTCTGGCCTGTTATTTTGGTGTCCGCGTCATGTAATCTGACTGCGACACCCCCTAGCATATTGGTTGCAACGATCAGTGTTTCAGGTGAACTGTAGCAAAATATCGCTATAGTGAGAAAGATAGGATAGTTGAAGGGTAATTTCATCTACACAAATAATCTACTTTATTTAGATGCTGCACCTTTCGTCATGGTATCATTCAATGGAGACTTCACGTCTCAGGATATTAATTCAGCCTATTTTCGTGTGAAGAACAGTCCTTTTTGACAAAAGAATTCTATCAGTACTGCGAAATCACCTGTAAATGCTAACAGAACCTTCTGTGAGAATAGAAGTAATCATGTAGATGTGTCTCAACGTGTGTGTTTGGACAGGAATTATCGTAAGTTGAGAGGTTATTTCTGAGTAGATCTCATGTATATTTGCACTGTTTAGTGTAGTGCAATATGAGTTATGTGGACTCAATGTATAAAAAATACCTCAACTTTATTTATATTGTGCCATTGTCTCCTTAGCCGACTGCTTGGCTAGCAAACGTAGGTGGTTGTCATGATTATTGCAAGTGCAGTGCCGTGGAGAAGGCAATCACTCGTTTAAATTCCTTACTGTGTCGCTTAGGGCATTAATTCAGTGTATAGTATCATTATACACATGGATTGTGTCGATTATGAGAACTGAATCTAGTCAGCTCTATTACTATCAATCTACTGTCTGTTATGCCATTCTCACTGGCACTGTAAACTTAATGCTGCACTGTTTTTGATCACCAGTAGTGGTGATGAATTTTTCCTGAATTTTCCATTAACATGAAGCAGTACAGATGCAGTGTCACTATCGAATGTCTAGGTTGCATTATATGTCATTGTTATCCTCATCGACGCAACAGGTCTGCGTATCTTACAATATTTTAAGTGTTTCTCTATGCTGCTAACACTGTGCATAGTTGCTTAGAGTTGAAGCATGTTCAGCTTATATTTGATGGCTATAGATTCCTAAATATGAGAATGTAATTTCTGTAGGATTCATAAAACTATGCTCATTAGACATTACTGAGATTATGGATCAATTTCTAAGTTACACATTAGCAATACTTCATTTAATGTAAACGTATTCAGTGTGAAGTTGATCTGCAACTAAGGTTAATGATAGTATGACGCCTCAACAGTATGGAAGCTTCAAAGATTGTCTTGATATTTGCGTGTAATCCTTTAATACTGGAAAACATTTGAGGTCTATTGATGCTTACAGTGCCAATATAAAAACCAGCTGAAAACTACATATACATTTATTCGCATGAGATATTACTTAGTATTAACCGAATCAGTGTATTCAGTGTGTGCTAATATGTAGAATTATCTTTCATAACTTCATGTTGTGCTAGTCCTTACATGTGCTTTATTTTTTTCAGGTATACGGAAGTTGTCGAATATGAAACCAGCGGAAATATCATCCGGACAAACTAACGTTAATACTCTTCATCGGGATTTTCTTTTGTAAATTAATGAAATGTTTAATATACTCTTCAATTCTACTTCCCCTAGACTTTTTCAGTGCGTGAATTCGGATCAATGCATGTTAAGCTTAGTTAGAGGGATGGAGATTTACTATAGTATTATGAGACTGTTACTTTAGCCCTTCGTAAGATTTCGTGTCTGTTTCTATACAGTAGGACATTGTAAAAACTAAGTAAGATTTAGCAATTTAAATAATAATTCTGTACTGTTCGATACGCTAAAATCGCCTTATCTAGCCAGTTGCAATTCTGTACACTGTTAAACGCCAAGTATGAAGTACAAGTAAATTTAATGACTTAGGCTTGACAGCTACTTCACTAATCTGTTAATATGCAGTGACATCGTCAAATAGACTGTTCACTTGACAGTGAGCAAAGAAACAATTTTCATCTACTTCTAATATGCCGTTGAATCATGTGATGTTATCTAATATCCATCATTTCTATAATCAACAACTGCGGTGTTTGCATATCTACTTTATGAATATTAAATAACTTACGCATTTATGCATCTGATTACCTCCAGTATTACAACAGTATATCCCATTCATTTGATGTGTGTACGGTTAACAAGGCATTCATACATTCTTCCACAAATACCAAGGTTTCTGGTGTCACAAGTGTTAATGAGAGTTGCTTCCTTGGTTTCAATACAAACCTTTTTTCATCTAGTAAATAGACAATCTGCAATTAAAAGTGTTCTCTGAGCTGGTTGGTTTAGTCGCGAAGCTTTCGTCGTCCTTCCGGACAACATCTTCAGCGCCATATTTAGCACAGAGTGAAATGATTTAAATTTCTTCTTCTTCAGAGAACACTTTTAATTGCAAATCATCCACCTGAGCTACAAATCTTCTCTATTATTTCAAAGTAAACAATCTCCTCCATCCATCTTTATATACCTTCAAGTTTTACTTTTATTATTTCTATTATATTTATGGTCCTGTTGATTCTTTGTTTTCACTTTCATAACTGCAAACACCAACTTATCTCTATGACTGCTGTAATCTTTGTTTTTCCACTCACCATATCATGTAAAGAGAACATCATATTCAATATTTTTAATCATGCAAGGATTTGTATACCGCATCGACAATTTCCACTTGTATTATTATCATTACCTTAGCTGCTATCATTATTATTATTTCCATTTTATATGCTGCATGTTTTTTATTTTTTTTATATCAACCCTATTGTAAATGTAGAAAAATTTTCCGATGTAAGAGAAAGTCAGGTGAAGCTGTTAATTCCTATGACCGTTGCAAAATTGATGACAGTGATATAGAGCTCAAGTCTGACTTTAAGTATCTCGGACTAATTCATCAAACAGCGTATTAGCCTTAAATGTATATCACACGCATGCATGAGCTAGGTATGCAAACCAAGGTAAACGCTGATATAAGTATAAAACTTGGGCACTGTGGTAGAGTGTAACTCCATTATGGATAAGATTTTATTTTGATAAATCAGACAGTGTTGTACAGTTACATTAACTGATGACGTTTCGAGCACAGACGCTAGCACGGTACACTCATTATTTAAAAAACTAACTCATATTTGAGAACTACGATTTGACCGGCTTTACAACGTTTAATATATTTAGACACAATAGACATACACTGCTTACTTCTATGACGCATTACCTAAAGCTACCCCCTTGTTACTACCTAAGTGAGCAACTCAACGTTATCTTTGAATAACAAATTAAAACCGGACACCCTGAGAGCTTTCTGGGTAAAAAGATCGTCTCCTAGTCGAGAAAATAAACATATCCTAATCTCTTCACGAAAGCGTTTAGTGGTATTTATCCTATCGCCTCAAATGACTCACTATTTTCTGTCATTTAAAAAGTAAAAATAAATTTATCGAAGGCAGTGTGCTTATGGTTTCCAGATATTATAATGCACCATGAGGAAAAAGCTTTATTCATAGGGTTATAGCAATTAGATGCACGATATAAATCCGAAACTCAACGACTACGATTCTCAATCACAGAACATTCTTTGCTACCTAATCGTCTAAATAGATGCTTCGCCAAGAAAAAGAAGACCACTGGTTCAAAGAAAATTTATTTGAAGTTTTCTTATAAATCATGGGCAACCGTGTTTGTAACCACGGAGAAATCACAAGCATCCGAAAAATAGGAATTTCATTATTTGAACTGAAACAAGCAATTTGTAACCAGCCAATTTTTTCACCCTGAATAATAATCAGCTTCTCAACTTGTTGTAACTTGGAAATAACCACCGATTGTAGACCAAAACCCGAAACGTTATTCTTGCTATTTAATTCTTACCGATCACTCACCAGATCATCGTATGTTATCCACTTTTCAAATCGTTTTGAAACAAATAAAATGGTTGTTAACACCGCGTTCACTACAGACAGTCCTGGTTCGTGCGTTGGGATCTAGTACACTAGGCATTAACAATCATTTAGGGATTTCCTATTGCTTCCAAAAGTACATACAAACACCACACATTCATACTTCACATGTGGCTCACCCTTGCTTGATTCTCTCACAATATACCTGATGTTTTAGCTGACAACAGACACCTTGTCGAAAAGCTCCAAAGCTTTTTAAACTTCAAACCAGCTTCTAAATTCTCTGGGTTTAATTAGTTCTTCGAAAACTTTGCTAATATCAATCCTGATGGTGCTCTCTTCACCGCATTCATTCGCAGATTGTTGCATGCTGTAAACATGAACGTGAGAGAAATTTTTTCCAGATTCCTACATATTAGGTAACCAACTGAGCCAGCAGCAATAACGGCAACCAAAAGTGAACTGGAAACAATGGCTTCTGCTTCCCAAACATGTTCACGTGTATAATCTCCAAGATTTCCACACAGTAATAATTCATTAATAGCTGAAAAACAATTAAAACACTAAAACCATGCATGAATGCAACGTATGAAACAATTACAATGAAACGAATGCACTGACCTGGTGGCAAAAACTTTCGAAACAAACGAAATAACTAATTTCAACAGAAATGGAAACAATAATGAAGTGAAACGCAATATTTGTGAACAATGTGCATCAAGATAAGTTGTGAATAACTGCTGGATAAACGGAAAAATCGTTGTGTAAACGAACAGCAACGGAACTGCAATCCAACATGGCCGACTAACATGGACGAAAATGACCTTGGAGCGCCTCACTCCATCAATGACCTTGTACATGGCGTTTAATTTCTGCCGTTTGTTTGTGGGGATTTTAAATTGTCAAGGTTGTATGGCTTTAGAGTGACGGCGTGTCTTTCAGTAGTAAGTGACGCACTAATGGACGTTTTGAAAGACTTCGTTAACACTCTGATAAATGAGACTTTAAAAGACTTCATAATCATGAGATTTTTCGCGTTCAATTTGGTATTTATGGAAGCGGATAAGGACATATGGTTGTTTAAGTTGTGTAGCGAGTTTTAGACAGCGTAGCTGGAGTTCTCGAGATTGTAAAAATCGGTAGTTGGGGTCTTCTGATAGCCTGACTGAATATCATTTAATGTGTATTAAATATATTTACCTTATGTAACATTCTAAATAGTTAACCGCTAATCGTTAGTGTCTCTCTAAATTGTTAGTTGAATAGACGCACTTCTGTGCAGATTTCTGTATGATGTAGTTAGTCAGTCCTCGTTGCAACTTGCTGATGATTGGCCTTCAAAAAGTAAAATCTCTTAAAGACTTCCATTTCTTTTTACTCTGGTTATGTGACCGTATAAATATGCCGCTTCTGTCATGTGGTTGAAAGTGATCTGTAGGTAGATCGCCATGTAACCACCTAATATAAATTCAAACTACAACGCCATGGCGATTCATCATTGCGAACATAACTGGTAGAATTTAGTTATCACTAGTGACTAGATAGATGGCAATGAATATTTTCTAGTGATCGTTAGTTATATCCCCTGTAATGTTGTTAGTGGACAATTTCATTCTTATGTCAGATGGTTATACCGTAACCCGTGACTTGTATCCCACTCACTGGCAATCTGATCAGATTTGGATGCACATTCCGTTCACCATATCTTCTATAAACGTCGATACCTATTAAGTCTTCTTCCCCATTGTCATCTATGACATTTTTTAATGTGTATTGATCACTTTGGTGTAAACCTGGCTCTGTAGTCAATTGACTATTACCCAGTCGTTAGCAACGTCTTAAATATTGGAGTTCAAATTCAAGGTAATACGTTTAAATAAGATTTGAACTTATCAGTGTATTAAAGTTTTGACTTTTCGAACCACGTTAAATTTTCATACATAGAGAAAACAGAGGTGATGAAGATTCCTGGCCAACAACAGACAGCAATCAGCATAAATGGGAGAAATCTGTAGGAAGCGACCTCCTTTATCTACCTGGGAAGTGTCGTTTCAACTACAGGCGACGAAACTGACGAGGATATCAACGTGAGAATCGGGAAAGCGAGGCAAGCTTTCATCACTCTCAAGTCAGCACTCAGCATGAAAAACAAGATCCGGATTTTCAACTCGAATGTGAATTCAATGCTACTATGAGGATCAGAGACTTGGCACCGCGTCACCAAGGCCACCTCACACAAACTACAGACCTTCATCAACACCTGTCTTCGCTCAGTACTCAAGATCAGATGGCCAGAAAAGATCAGCAACTGGGAGCGAACAAACCAATCAGGAACCAATTGTGCAGCAAATATGCAGGAAGAGATGGAGAAAACAAACCATCACGTGACATCACATGCCAGGCTTTCAGGTGGAATCTGAATGGGAAGCAGTGAGTCGGTCGTCAGTGCGAGGGTGACATGGAGGTGGTCATGTAAAGAGGAGATGAAAGCATGCGGGCAGACGTGGAGCCAGGTAACAACGTTGGCGGAGAACCGAACGCAATGGAGACGTGCGGCTGAAGCCCTATGTTCCTCTAGAAATTAAAGGAAACAATAATAATGTCTTATCTTCTTGGTAAGATGGAAGTTTGCAAATTTTGCTACTGAAATTGAATTTGGCTTTCAGACCCTTGATTTTACAACAGATGTTTGTAAGTTATCAAAAATGTAAGGGAAAAATGCCTAAATCAGTATGATGTATTATAAGGTTTTACGTTTGGAGATGTGCGTCGATTTCAACGTTAAACATTGCATGAACATAGCGTTAGAAGAAAAGTTACATAACACTAGGAGGTAGAATATTTTATTATTTACTAATTTGCTCTATTTCTTTGCACAGTCAATAAGTTGATTATCCGCTTAAAACAAAAGTTAGCAGGAGTAATTCGTATACATTTTGATGTTGCATTAACTAAAAGTATTTAATCAGGGTGAAGTTAAACTATAACAGCCACTAACAAGTACCCTTTCAGTGATCATGAACAAACGATCTTGGTAAAATAACAACAGTAAGACTAGTAAATTTGCTCACAAAGAACTGTATTTTCACATATACAGGCAGCCTTATTCCTCCTTATTAGTACTGTATTAAAGTTTCTCTGTTAAGCATAATAGGTAACCCAGTATCCAAACATAACTGAACTCGGGAGGAACAAACGAGGGAAAATCAAGCGGGCTTTAGGCCAGGTAGAGGATGCATAGATCATATCTTCACTCTCCGACAGATCCTAGAACATAGACACACTTTTAGGCGTCCAACAATTGCCATATTTCTTGACTTGAAGGCGGCCTTCGACTCCGTGGATCGAGAGGTACTATGGCAATGTTTGACTATGAAGGGAGTGCCAAGAAAGTACATTGCACTAATCAAGGCACTCTACTCAAACTCACGTAGCTGTGTAAGGGCTTATGGGGAATTGTCATCTGAATTGATAACAACCAGTGGTGTCCGTCAGGGATGTCCACTTTCCCCTTTTCTGTTTAACTTCATCATAGATATGCTAATGGAAGTATCCTTAATCGAACGTAACGACTTAGGAATCGACTTGTTACCAGGGAATAGTCTTATAGACTTAGAATACGCAGACGACATAGTCCTGTTAGGGGAGGACGCTGACAAAATGCAGAGTCTTCTGAACACCTTGAGCAGCAATCTTCGTATGTTTGGCATGCGATTCGCCCCTGTGAAATGTAAGATGCTGCTACAGGACTGGACCACGTCAACTCCAAGCTTAGTGATAGGGAGTGAAGTGATAGAACAAGTTGACCACTTCACCTATTTGGGAAGTTGTATCAGCACCAACGGATTGATTGGTGACGAAATCACAGCACGGATCCAGAAAGCTAGGGCTGCTTTCGCTAACTTGCACCATCTCTGGCGTAGGCGTGACATCCGACTATCAACCAAGGGACGTGTGTACTGCTCAGCAGTTCGCTCCGTCCTTCTCTATGGCGGTGAGACGTGGCCATTGAGAGCGGAAGACATGAAGAGATTGTCTGTTTTTGACCACAGATGTTTACGATCTCTTTCTCGCGTTAGGTGGTTTAATAAGGTAAGTAATGTTGACGTTAGGCGGAGTGTTGGGCAAAGAGGGAAAATCACTCGAAGAGGCTATAAAGTTACATAGATTGAGATGGTTAGGCCACGTGCTGCGCATGCCTAACCATCGTCTCCCCCGACGGGCATTACTAGCTGATATAGGTGCAGGTTGGAAAAGAGTAAGTGGTGGCCAAACAAAAACATGGCCTCATCAGTCCATGAAATCCTTGACAGTTAAACTGAGTCAGGTAGGGAGATGCAGACTTCCGGGTTGGGGCCCTCGGGACTCTAAGAATCAATGGCTGGAGACAATAGGTGACATGGCTCAAAATCGTTGTCAATGGCGCAGATGTATTCAGTCTCTTTAACCTTCATACTCCTTTCTACCATTACTCATTCTGTTTCACTCTTATACTTGTCAAAATTCTGTTCACTCATCTTCTGGTCTACCTTTGTGTGCTATTTGGAACGTGGCAACCCGAACTGCTGCACTTCGGTGCCAAGTTCTATGTTGAATCCAGACAGACAGACAGACATAACTAAGAAATCAGGTGATGTGATGGGTTGCCTAAAAGTGATTTTGACAGTTCTTCAGTCGAGTTGTCGATGGCGGTCGCCAAAGTTTAGCTTAACCTTAATGAGCTCACCAAGTACCCTCAGTGGATTAATGAATGTTTCTTGTGTGTACAACTTTCAATCACCCTCTTATTTATTCATCGGAAAATGACGCCAATTCCTTTCGTAATTAGGTTCGTTATAATTAACTCACTAGAAACGAGTTTATTGGTGTAATATCAGAATGTAATTAGATAGCATTTTGACGATGATTTAATCTAGGTTAAAAATATTTCATTGATATTATTGAAGATAACTGTATTTACTGCATTTTTACGCCTTACTTCGGAGAAATTATTGTAAAATAGTGGAGAGAATAACTGCATATTCTGATTGGTTTTGTAAACAGTAAGATTCTTTAGAAACATGATGCGGCTACACAAATTGATACTCAGTGACCTCCCCCCCCTCCCTGAATTATCATTATTATCCATGCAGTCATTGGACAGTATATTGCTCAAGTCATAAAGTGTCACTTATATTATTGATAAAAACAGTAAAAATTCACTATTATCAGTATTTAGGGAAAAGTTTAAATAACGTCATAAGCGAAATAGAATTCACTGATATCCTACCTCTTTACAGTAAATAAATCAACGAATAGTGAACTGCTTCATTTCTCGGAGTTGAAATACCTTTTTTGTAAGGAGTAGTCCTATTCTAGTTTTTTTTTCTATTTTCACCACGGCAATAACATAGTCATTTTTGGACCCAGGTTTCTTGCTAGTTGGCACTCGTCAGCAGGGCGTATCTGTCACCTTGAAGGAACTCATGTCCCTTCTGAGATTCGAACCTGCATCACCCAGTGCTGCGATTGACCTCCTTCCTTTAGGACTATAGTGGATACTTTGATTGAACACTAGCAACTAGTGTAATGTGTCTAGTCCTTTCTTTGGTGTAGACTGAATTCTATCAGGCAGGTTTACAATATAGCCACTATTCTAGGTAGCTTGCCATCCCTGTGCACATTGATTTGATGGTATCAGATGGTTGGATGCAATCGGCATGAAGCTACCCAGAATGGTGGTCACATTGCAAACCTGACTGATAGAATTCAGCCTGCACCAAAGAAAGGACGAGACACATCACACTTGTTACTAGTGTCCAATCAAAATGGTCATTTTGTCAGTAATGTTAATCTGGTGTTCTTTTAAAAAACAAGTGTTTGTTGCAGTATATTTGCACCTACTGGTCACTTTCATCTATTTGATAAATTTTTATTCTAAAAATTGCGTTTACCTTATTCTATCTAACTGCTGAGTAACGTCATGGTTTCGATGAAAATAGAGCATAAATGCATTGATCTCACTATAATCGATTGTGGACCAAATCATTAACCTGATATTTCCCTTGATAAGTTCCTCATTCATGAAGAAGTTCCCATATAACTTTAAAAGAATAGCCAGCTATTTCTTACTTATCCATATTTTATTTATTTAACATCATGTTAAAGTGGCAGTTAAGAACGTGTGCCTTGTCACAACTGAATTGGAACTTGCACAGCTAAATAGTATCATACTCAAAATACCGGGGGAAAAAGTTATTGTTGTATATATTTAAAGTGATAAACTATGAGGTAGAATCCGGTTGATCATTTGTTTACTTCAGATGGTATAGTCCTCCTAGGTAAAGACGCTGACAAAATACAGTCTTCTGAACACCTTAATCGGAAAATTTAGTCTGCTCGGTGTGTAATTCCCCCCCCCCACCCTTATCAAATGTAAGCTGATGCTGCAGGATTAGTCTACACTGATTCTCTGTTTAAGGATAGCGAGTGAAACAGTTAAGTGTTGACCTCACTTATTAGGAAAATTGTATGTACCCTTAATGGACAGATTGATAACGAAATCTCAGCTGTCGTATGGTACTTGACACTTCACGTCATTTCTGGTGTAGACTTGATAAGGCTGGTGATCGAAGAACATGTGCACTGAGCAGCCGTTCTCTAGGTCTTTCTTTATGGCCATAAGGCATGGTCGTTGGAAGTAAAAAGATATAAATAATTTTTTCTTGACTACACAGGTGTTTGTGTTCATTTTTTCCTGTTAGTTGTTTTGTGGTGAGTAATATTGGGGTTGGGCTTAGTTTTAGGTAAGGAGGGAAGTGAAGCTGCATCCCTTCAGATGACTGGGACACATGTTACCCATGAAAAGCCGTTGCATTCCTCGTCGAACAATGTTAAGTCACATAGGACTAGGTGGTCAAATCAGAACGTAACACATCACTCCAACATATAGCCACGTAGAGAGGTAAAGATTATCAAGCCGGAGTCCTCGAGGCGATAAGAACAAATAGCTACTGAATTTCGGCGACATAGCCCAAAATCATTCTAAGTGGCTCAGAGATGCATTCACTCTTTATAAATCTCCTAGAATCATTGAATACTGATTATTCTCCGTGTAATTATTCTTTCTCCTGTAGTTTTCCCCATTAATTTTAACCTCTCTGCATTGATTTTTCTCTCAACCGTTATGTTTGCTTTTGTGAGGCTTGTCAATTTCAACTGTTACACCTTTCTGTATAATCCTACTTTTGAATATTCAATTCAGTCAGTAATAAGTGTTGTATAAAGTTTCCTTTTGTTACACTTCGCATCCGTGTATCTATAGAGCATTTATATTTTGTATGTGTATGTAATTAAACAGACTACGTTCGCCTCGTGTGTTTCTCTTCATATAGTGAATTACCTTGTGCTACTCAAAATCACTTGCATATTATCAATTAACTGGGTATATGGCGTTGAAGAGAATCAGTCGAATGCATTAAACAGGAGTTCTTTAAGTAATACAACTGTAAGTAATGCCCCTGTACAAGTAAGTGGCTTATAAGATGAGATATACGAAGATTTAATCTTTTTTTAATAGTTAACAACCCTTGAATCGAATTCATCTGCAACAAATAACAATTCAGCACCATCAACAACTGCTGGTCTACCCTTAAAAGTAAGTGGAAATAAAATTTAAGTGTCTAAATTTAATCCACTTCTGCTAGTCTGGAATCAGCACATCATCGCCTACTCCAGTTACTTCAAATGTTTCGTCAACTGTTCACTCTACGTCAACAAAAGCAGTAACAACTAAAAACTATGATTTTGTCGACCATGATACAGAAGAAGACGAGCTAAACAAGACAAAGTTAACTGGAAATCCTATGGATATACATGACACAATCGATGTACCACAGATTGGTGATTCGCCAAAAGAAAGTGACAAGAATGATATGATCAATAATAGATATAGTCGTAAAGAACTGTTTCCTCAAAAGACAGGAGATCGTAACCGGCCGCTTGAGTCTGAGGATTCGTTTGTCGAAGGTCAATGTAAGCTATTTTTTTTAGATAGATGATAAATTTTTATGCACTGATGTTTTTGAGTTTGAATTTTAATGAAAGATGATTGGGGTGCTGAGTATATTAAACAGAAGATAATTAGTAGACTTGTTTGTTTAACAGGTTTGTGTTTATGTTGATGTCGAATTCCACTTCATATGATGATAGACGTTATATTTCAGTGGTTGAATTTCACTTTTTGATGTGAATTAGCAACATTTCTAGTAATAGGAGTTTCTAATGTATTGGTATATTATACTTAGAAGTTAACAGCTCTGTCTATTTCACTTTTTTTATGGAAAATGAAATGTCTGTCTAGTCCTGTGGAGGAGTTTTTACTTGAACAGTCTTGTGGTAACTGGTTTAAGTACTCGAGCTGTGCTACTCAAATGAGTAAAGTCACTCTTGTATTCGGCAAGAGTAAATAATAGATCTTATATGTCACTCACTAGACATGCATGCTATCCACAGTGTCTGCCTTGCAAGTCTTACCCAGATTTGATTTTTTGAATTCTGTATGGAAAATGGGTTGATAGGGAAGAAGGGAAGTTAAGTGTTTAACAAACCGAGCAATGGCACTAAGTAGCACAAAAAAGACCTAAATGATGAGATAAAACAGACAGAAGACGCGTTGATGTTAAATAACTATCCTATAAAATTCATTAGGAAGATTGAAAAAGGCCAAAATAAAAATAAAAAGAATTGTGAAACTAGTAATAATAACATAAATAAGAGAGAATATAAGTCATCTACAGTTATACCATATAAAGAGGGGACATCTGAGACCCTACGTAGGATTCTAAATAAAGCAGGAATTAGGGTGGCATTTAAACCTACAAACTCACTCAGGGACAAGCTCTGTAGGTTAAAGGACCCAGTTGACCCAATTAGACAAAATAATATAATTTACAAAATACCTTGCAATGACTGTGAGGTCAACTACATAGGTCAGACTAGTAGGTCAGGGGTAGTCAGATTATCAGAACATAAGAATTTAGCTAAGGTAAGAATGGTTGACCCGGAGAAGATAAGTAATTTAGAAAAAAGCTCAGCAATTGCAATGCATGCATTAGCACACAACCACACAATAGGGTGGGAGAGGGTTAAAATTCTAAAAAGTAATCTAGGTAGGTGGAGAGAGAGGTTGATTACTGAATCCTTGTTCATCGAATCTACACCCAACACATGCAATAGGAATGATTCATCACTCATACCCGAAATATGGAAAGTATTACTACCAATCAAATCAAGTGAAAAACAATGGAACTATATAAATGAATTTAGGAAGTCGTGTGATTACCTTGATATGATTATGAGTAATAAATTGTGCTCGAAACGTCACCAGTAAACATTACTGTATAACACTGTGAGACTTTATCAAAACAAAATTTACCCATAATGGAATTACACTCTACCACAGTGCACAAGTTTTATTCTTATATCAAGAATAAAACATGCATATCCTGGGGGGGGATAATGACTCTTCAAAAGTATTACCAGACTATTGAGGGTTGTGCATTCAGATGGGAGTCACTGTCATAGTAGGAAGTCTCTAAGAGTTGGTAAGTTGTACATTATGGTGATTTCATAGGTGCTTTCTTCTGGAAGTCGAAACTCTACCTTACTAAAATATTAGTGTATATGCCATACTTGGCTACTGAAACGACCAGTATCCGCTACAGCTGCGGAAACAGAGAATACTAAGATGTCAACAGTGAAGTAATATCAACACTGTCAGGATATTACCTTACAAAAGATCAGGGGGATTATTTGTGTACTTGAAGGAGCTGGTGTTGTCGTTCATATTGACGAAACGATACTTTATCAGATGAAAAATGAATCGCCGGAGGAGAAAAGCAAACAATGTTTGGGTGCTGGGACTGTATAATACAAATCTTCAAAAAGGGTTAGTAGAACGCATTCCAAGCAGAAGTGCTGATGTTTGATTACCAATGCTACCACGGCTAGTCTTCCCAGGCACTACCATTCACACAGACGAATGGAAAGTTTATGCACAACTATCAACATGAAGTTCTTCTGAATTAGTGGCTCCTATAAATGGAACTTATATAAATTCTATTGAAGGATTCTGGGCCCATCTGAAAAAAAACGGGTTAGGGTGGTTAGTGGTCTTCGAAATTATGTTATATACAGTCACCTAGATGAATTTTCGTATCGACATTGGTTTGATACGTGTATAAGCATTCCTATGAGAATGACTAATTTTGCAGCATATACTTTTTTACACTATAAATTCCACTTGGGACAATCTGATTGGCTAATTCAAGGTCATTTGACTGTGATATAATTTTTTTACTGTTGCCATATATTCATGTCTTACATTTCTTTTTAAACTAAGCGTGTATATTGTAATAGCCTAATAAACCTGACGGATTGGAATGACTGTCCTGTGGTGTCGTTTCGCATCGTGTCACAAAGATCTTCTGGATAAGACGAGATAAGGCTGGAGAAGTTGCCTATACTATATGTACAAGTTAGGAGGAAGTCATATTTCCGATAAGCTTTTCATCTAGCAAGTCATAGTGACTGTGTACTACTCACGTGAAGTATTAGAAAAAGTCAACTAAAAGGGGTGCGTCGGTGGCATAGCGGTTAGGACGCTCGCCGACCATGCACACGGTCCGGGGTTCGATCCCCGGCCACTGGACGCACTCCTTTACCTCGCTAAGCCAGAAATAATGCTGGTGAGGAGGAAAGGTTGGACATGAGGCTAGCAACCCCATCCTGTAAAATAAACACTGCTACAGAAACTTCGAGCCCCTAGCTTGAAGCCCTATGTTCCACTGGGAAACGTGAAGGGAAAAAAGGGTGTGTACTCCAGTTTAATTTGTGGCGATGCTTATCCGAGGTATACTGTTTCCTACAGACTACACCCTATGAAGTATCACATGTCTAAATGACCGATGTGAAGCATAGATACCCTTTGGTTCTTGCAATCACGTGATGAAACTAGTCCTAAGGAAGCCTGATATTATCTCCAGTTAGTTGTCGATACATTGTTAAATAATGCTGGTTATTTTTATGTTCCATAAGAAAATAGTTATAAAAGATCACATTAGATATCCATCAGCGTCTGTAAGTATGGTATGTGTTTTGCTCTGTCTAAGTGCAAAGTACTGTTACAAGATTGGCAGGAGCCTGTACCTGCACTCACTCTTGCAGGTGAACCGCTTGAAGTTGTTGATAAGTTTGTGTATCTGGGTAGTTGTGTGAGTGCTGGTGGAGGGGTGATGGATGAGATTTTCAACCGTATAATGAAAGCTAGGGTGGCATACATCAACTTGAGCCACCTCTGGCGCCGTCGCAACGTTAACCTGGCTGTCAAAGGTCGGGTATACAATGCTTCGGTGTGGGTTGTCTTGCTCTACGCCTGTGAAACCTGGCCTCTCCGAGCTGAGGATGTGCGGCGGCTCTGCGTATTCTATCATCGCTGTCTCCGCAGGATTGCTCGCGTTCGTTGGCCTCATCGCGTGAGTAATTCTGAGGTTCGGCGGCTTGTGGAGATCACCATTTTTTGAGTGTCGTCATCTGGAAGCACCGGCTTCGGTGGCTTGGACATGTGTTGCGAATGTCATCCTATAGGCTTCCGTACAGGTCTCTGTTCGCTAGCCCTGGGACGGGATGGAAAAGGCGGAAGGGTGGTCAGTCCATGACGTGGCGTCGTGGGATGAAGGATATTTGTGCTAGATTAGCATCGGTTAGTGCGTCACGACTCTCTGGTTGGAGTCCAGAGACAGCTCGAATCATGGCTCGAAACGTTATCGGATATGGCCAAGAATCGTAATCACTGGCGAATGTGGTGCAATTTCCTTCTTTCTTCCCTTCCTGATGATAGTTGACGAATACTGTTTGAACTTGTTAAACATGACTTTATCCGTTTTCTACTTATATTTTTACTTTTAATCTATGTTGTTTTATATTATTGTGTGGCGCATCTTCTTGGTGCCATATCATACCAAGTTTTTCTGCGTTTAAATAAAATAAAAAAATAGATATCGATAGCAGCATTCTGACAACTAATGAATAGACAGAGTCATACTTTCTCTTAGGTTCAAAACACATTATAAAGGCCACCGCAGTTGAAAATAGGTTAACAAAGTATTCACAATAATTAATAATTTAATGAGCAGTAATGAGTATAGTCACAAAGACAATGGTGACTATCGGTAATAGCTGAGCATTGTTCACGTTTATTGGCAGGTAGGTGTTAGCGAGACTTTTATGATGAATGATGGATCAATAATTCATGCATAAAAGAAGCACTTAAAGGAATGAGCAAAAGACTTTGGAACACTGTTCAAACAACTTCTTGCTACTTTCTTGACTGATTGAATTATTAAATTTTAAGTTTTGCGCAAAATTTCATCACTTCAAATTGCCGCACTTTAGCAAAAGGCAAAAAAGTGAGGCAGAGGGGGAGGGGGAACATACTTAAAGGCGGAATGATTGGGTTGGGTGAATAATAATAATGAGGATTTAATGTATTGGGAATATCACATGTAATGAATACATTTTTGTTATTGCTAATGATTTTGAGTCATGTCAGCAACAGTTGGCAAACATTGATTGGTTACAGGATTTCATCATGAGCTGACATTGGTTAGAGAACCATTGGAAAACCTGGGAGTACTGGACAGCTGTTTCGTCCTAGTTTGGGACTCTTCAGCAGCACCAAATCCCTACAAACCAATACTTGAATATCAATGAGATGCTCACTGGCGACTGGCCCTATTCAGGTAAGTAGTTACCTGGGGTTCCAGTGGGAAGTCGTGACCAGTAAGGTGCAGCAGGTCAGGTGTGAGGACAAATACACGCCGAAGACATTGACAAGCGGTTGCGCCATATCGTGAATTGGCAGAAGTTAGAATTCATGGACTGACCATTGGATCGGGTCCCAGTGGCTTAATGTATTTAACATCTGCGCAAACCCAGGTTTTCGAATGGTTCTCTAACCAATGTCAGCTCATGATGAAATCCTGTAACCAATCAACCAAATCTCTACAAACCAGTACTTGAAACATTGATTGATCATTAGCATCCTTAGGGAACCCCGATCTAGACAGTCTACACATATGACATAAAGGCAACAGTGAAAATCTTCATTTGTGAATCTACTTTCCTTTCAGTTTCCAACCGGAAAGTATTTCCATTCACATAGAATCTCCAACTCTTGCACAGTTTGAAAAGGTTTTATGTAGCTAAACTTAAATGAATAAGGGAGGGAATAAGCAAAAGGTATTTAAAGACTCTACAATCAGATTGAGATTTTCCCTAGTGTAAGAAAGTCAAAAGGAATACTCCGTGGATTAGCCCCCAATTGCAGTTAGATCAGACTAATCGCATACACCTGCTTGTGAGTGTGTTATCGATAAGATATACACTTTCTGTTGTACCCTAGACGAGAAGATGAATATCTTCAGCAGTCCGATATTAGATGCAATCTTTGTTTGATCAAAAAGTAACATTTCACTTTGTCAGTTGAAGTTTGATGTGACAATGCATCTCATTGACGCAGTACATCCTCTTGATAAAGTCTCTTGTCAAACAATCATTGCATTGAAGTCTATAGTGAGCTATCTATCCTGTACGATGTCTACATTGACTGGTATTCCAAAAGGATGTTCATTTTTCCCTTTTTTCTCTCGTAAAAACTTTGCAATAGAGATATTTTTTGCCACATCTGGCTACTCTGACACAACTGACTCAATCCATAAAGCCACTACCGACTGTTATACTGAATTGTGTGCAAAAGTGTAGATCGTAGATGGCTAAGCATCTACGTGATTGTTTTCAATACTTTAGGTGATTTGTTACAGGATTTTCATCATGAGCTGACATTAGTTAGAGGACCATTGGAAAACCTGGGAGTACTGGACAGCTCTTCATCAGTACGCACCCACCGGGATTCGAACCCAGGACCTTCTGGTTAGAAGTCGAGCTCTTATACCATTAAGCCACTGGGACCCGATCCAGTGGTCAGCCCATGAATTCTAACTTCTGCCAATTCCCGATATAGCGCAACCGCTAGCCAATGTCTTCGGCGAGTACTATTTATTTTCGGTGTGTTTTACTGCCTAGAGTCGCTAGTCAGTCTCATGCCCAACCTTCTCTCCTTACCGGTGGTAAGATGAGGTTTGTAGGATTGTGTCGGCCGGGAATCGAGTCCACAGCAAGCATTCTGTCAATAAACCACCGATGTGTGCCTCCATTTCTTACCTGACATCCAGTGAAAAGCTGTTGTATTAAAATCAATCAGTTGATTTATTTGTGGTCTTTGCATTTTCAGTGTTATCGTATCATGAAATAATAAACATTATTGATCTATGTCCAAATATTGATTTTTTGTTGTTTTTTTGTTTTTGTCATTCTTACTTATCATTGCAGATTTTTCGCATGTGTCTACAAGTTATGTACTGATTATTTGCTGTATTGTCATTGTTCTGCTTTTGTGTATCTGGAAACCACTTTGTGTAAGTCATATGTGTAAGGTTATTTCATATTGATTTCTGTCTCTCTCTCTATATATATTATATGGTTAAGTATTACAATATTTAGCCATAAGAAAAAGAAAACGTAAACAGCAAAGAAAATTTCCTTTTCGACGATTCATTTTCATAAGCTGCTGTACAATCGTAATTAATTTTACCAAATAAATCATAAGGCGACCAATCAGATACTGGCCAAATTTGTCCTCGAAAAACGTATTACTTAATGTTAGGTGTAAGGAGTACCGTTCTTATTATAATTTTACTTCTTTTTATTATGTAAATTTATTCTTATTTTCAAGTATTGGTTTTGTAGGGATTTTTGTTTCTTTGATTGGTTGAAGGATTTCATCATGAACTGACATCAGTTAGAGAACCATTGGAAAACCGCCTGGGAGTACTGGACAGCCAACTGTTTCGTCAGCCTAGTTTGGGACTCTTCACCAGTACGCACCCACCACCGGGGTACGAACCCAGGACCTTTCGGTTACAAGGCCAATGAGCTCGTAGACCATTAAGCCACTGAGACCCGATCCAGTGGTTAGTCCATGGATTCTAACTTCTACCAATTCATGACATAGCGCTACCACTTCGCAATGTCTTCTTCGATGAGTTACTGCCTCACCTTCAACCTGCTGCAGCACCCTACTGGTCACAGCTTCCCACTAGAACGCCAGGTTAACTTCCTGGGACAGTCGCTAGTGAGCATCACTATTATTAGGCAATTAGAAGACAAATTTCGCGAGAGGATATCACTTCGCAGTTTCTTTACAACCGCTTTACAAGTAATATGGTTCACAATAATAATAAAAGAAAATGCATGACAATTACTCAGTTATATAAAACAAAACTACATAGTAATGATCAATCATATTTAAATAGTTCAATTAGTCCATGGTAGGCGAAGGTTGAAGTCTATTGTTTATTGTACACATACAGTTTAGGATGTATGTGATGAATCCAAATTGTTTTCATCACCTTGAATAACCAACCTTGAATGAGACTTATGTAATGAAATAATTGTGATAAGAATATGGATTTTGTGACCTGACATTAATAAGTGTTTTGCAATAGATGATGATGGATTTCTATTCAGATTAATTGCATTGGGATTTTCTGTGTTTTAATAACCATTTTGGAACATGTTCTTTTCGACGACCGAACGAAAGTTGCTACCTTGACCTGGTGGTCGGGCTTGCATATCGCAATGACCCAACGAGCTACACTGGCTGGAACTTAAGTCCCTGTAGGTCCTACCATGCCAGAAAGGTTGTTTGGATAGCGGTTAGACAAAAAGCAGCTACCCAATCCAATGCCATGACTCAAACAAAATCACAAAATATCATGCCGGATCGGTCGGGGCCCGGATTAACAACGACCGCGCTTCCTGCTGCCGTGTCACAGGGCAGAAGTGATAAATATGCTACTGAGACACACCAAATAAAAAAGAACAAACAAAAACAGGCCGTGTGTGACCGGCCTCAAGCAGTTGTCCCCTGGGCTCTGCGGTCACGCAACCAACTTCCACGGTGTGGGCAGCCGCGAAGTAACAATCGCCCTCACAATCCGAAGTGCACGCGAAACCTCTCTAATCCTCACTCATCTTTGTATCCATCTTCATCTCTATTATCTTGCCTTCCTTCTACCAATGCAACTCCTCTACTTGATGGCTCTTCACTTCCTCTTCACTCTGTGTGCACTGATAACGATGGGAGCCAAAAAGCCACCATCGATAGTCTCTCTTTTCGACGACCACATTGGAACATTCAATTTGTTCTACCTATATATGTATCACTGCAACTGCAAGTGAACTTGTAGATATAGTTTCAAGAAAAGTCTACAGAATTCGGTCCTCTAATCGTAGGTACAGGGATCGGAAATGTTTTGTTTTATATAACTGAGTAATTGTCATGCATTTTATTTTATTATTATTGTGGACCATGCTAATTGTAAAGCGATTGATTGTAGAGAAACTACGAAATGATGACATCATCTCGCGAAATTTGTCTTCTAAATGCCTTATTCAAATTTATCAAAGGGACTAATTGTTTTAATATTATTTTATTACTGTTTATTAATAACATTGCGTTTCTATTCAGTTTTTTTTATAGAAACACTTTATTGTCTTTCCACTGGTTCCTGTCCATTCTACACAACCATATTGATTAGTCATTTTCTTACACTTATTACGTCATTCCAACTTCTGCCTCCTTTTTTAACTTACAATTAGTCACCCCTTCTAGAGCGAACTGCTGCGCAGCCTACATGTCCTTCGATCGATAGCCGGAAATCGCGTCTTACACCAGAGGTGACGTAAGTTGGCAAATCATGCTACATGAGCCATCTGTATCCGTGCTGAGATTTTGTCAGCAGTTGTCAGTCTTCTGGGGCTGATTCAACTTCCCAAAATCAGTGAGAGGTAACCAACACATTCCACCACTTCACTGGCTATCTTCAGACTAGGAGCTGGTTCAGTCCATTCTTGCAGTATCATATTACCACTAGGCCTGAGCAAATCGCATGTCAAACTTTCGAATATTTCTGCTCAAAGTGTGTTCAGATGACTGCACTTTGTCAGCTTCCTCACCTAGGAGGACAATATCATCCGCATATTTTGGTTCTATATGACTATTCACTGGCAGCAAGTCAATCCCTAAGTCGCTGAAGTCGGTTAAGGTCTTTTCTATTCGTATATCTAAGATGAAATGGAGACAGTGGGCATCCCTGATGGATACCATTGGTTGTCATTACTTCAGATGACAACTTTCTATAAGCTCTTACACACACGCGCGCACATACACACACACACACTGTTTGCGTGAGTTCGAGTAAAGTGTCGTGTTAAGTGTGATGTATTTTCTTCATAACTCAATGAGTATATAAAATTTGTTGGTCATTAATGCTATTATTATTATTATTATCGATCTAATTATCAAATAAATTTTACATATGCTTTATATATGCTTTTTGTTTTGTAATGCATCTTTTATTTTCTTTCTAGCACATCGTATACGGTATATACACCGGTTATTGTCCACATACTCGATCCGGTACCACTGGTATTAGCAGCAGTACTAGTAGCAAAGTGGCATACCACCCGTTAAGTTCAGAATATGCTTAATAGCCCCCCCCCCTACGCGTACTTTTTGTGGTCATCGTACATATCTTATCATTACAGTCTATCTATCTATATATTTATGTACTCCCACCTATCTCATCTCGTCGTGATTCGTTTATGTAACCCATAATTTTTTTGTAACACTTTTGCCTTTTCATAACTCAACCTCCATCCCCACCCAGCGCTCCGATATGTCCGCCAGTTTACTACTCATATATTTTGAGAAGTGAGAAAAAAGAGTTGTTTGTATTTTCTTGTTTCTTTTTTTCTAAAAAATGATTTTGTAGATAAATCTGTATCAACATTGACTTTGCCGGTCAGTCAGTCAGCCAGTCAGTTAGTCTTGGTCTCAGTCTCATTTCTTTCTCATCCTGTGTGTATTTCACACAGGTGTGATATCTTCTCTCCTCTTTTTTTTTAAAACAAAAGGATTGTGAAATTATTTTGTAAATTTCAAAGGAAGGCAATACGTGTGTAAAGAAAAGTATAATATTAAAATAAGAAGTATTGGAGAACACCTGTTTTTTTTTGGCTTTTGGTTTTCGTCAGTGTAATAATTGTAAATAATAATAATAATTTGCTTTATTCCAAAAACAGTACTAATGATACAGCAAGGAATTTTCAGCATTCAGTACAATATTGCATGTAATTTACTCAAAAACGACAACAAAAAAAAATAAATAAAATAAATAATCATTACATAATAATGATAACAAACGTTTTTATAGGAGCTATGTAGCAATTGCAGTATACGATAAGGAGAAAAATACGCATAAAGTATAAAATTATAGTAATAATAGTAATAACAACTAAAATAAAAATAGCAAAGTTATAATTAAACGATAGGAAGGAGGACACCATAAAATTACAGAAAGATGAACAATGAAAGGGTCGATTCACTATGCTAATTACATAGTAACTTATATGTTTTACGTCTAACAGAGTCTTCATCACATAAAATACGGGCTAAATAGGGTATTGTAGAATTTTTGTACTTAATGGTGCGAGCATATAACTTTTTATATTGACTTCTCGTCCTACCTGATGAGATACAAGGGGATAGTTGTGAATAAAGAGAGTGCAGAGGGCCTGACAGTACGGCCTTTGCCCACTTTGTACAGGAATTTACGTGTCTCTCGACTATAGTATTGTCCCCATGGGTTCCAAATGGATCATACAAACCTAAGCAACACATTTCCACTTTTGTTCTATTTTTAGCTAGGGCCTCCATTGCCCAAAATCTCTCTCAGCTCCTCCTCCTCCTCTTACAATCTTCTCCGTGTCACCCTTGGAAGACACATTCAGGTTCTACTCGAGTGCTGGCCTGCATTGCGCGTGATGTCATTCGATGGCCTCCTTAGCGTATGCCCAATCCATCTCTATTTTCTCCTGCATATTTGTTAAGCGATTGGTTCTTGGCTAGTTTGTTCCCAGAGTTTCTTCTGGCTGATTATTTCCACTCGACCAGTCATCTAATGTCCAATATGCAACCAGTGAAGGCAGCTGTTGATCAAACTCTGCAGTAGCCCCCTAGAAATGCTTTTCGTGACGCGAGCGCCAAGTTTCTGACCCGTATAGAATCACTGACTAACTGACTTGACATGGGTGTTGAAAATTCGAATTTTGTTCTTTATGCTGGCTGAGTGAAGTAGAAGATTTGCGAACCGATTCCAGGTTGATGAAGTTGTATCTTGCCTTTCTGATTTTGGCTTTGTCCTCTTCATCTGTTCCCCTCCCCCCCCCCCCGCTGTGGTTGAAACAATGCTTCCTAGCTATAGATAATTGAAGGAAGTAACTTCTTTCAAATCGATTCCGTTGATAGTGATTGATATGGTTGTTGCTGTTGTTGATTGATTGATTATCTCCACCCGCTCTGTTTTGAGGTCCTATCTTTCCGGCTGCTTCTACAGGTTTGTTACTTTTCTCCTGTAAGTGTTCGAGTTTGTGTGACAATCTAATCGCCAAGACTGATGTTGTGGCGAGAGCTGTCTACTAGCCAAATTGGTAGACAGTAATTTACGTCAATATTTACGTTCCCAAGATTTGTCGTGCGAAACAACCAATCGGAAGACTGTTTGTTTGTTTACATATCCATAGTAATGTACATGAAGTCGTGAGAAACAACCAATCGGAAGACTGTGTTTATTTGCTTAAATATCCATAGTAATGTACATGAAAATATATAAATATGCGTTGATTTCCTTAATAAATGATCTGTTGCCTGACTCTTGCCTTCTGTCGTTACAATGTTACCAATACAAGATACATGCGTGGTTTAGCCAACTAGCAATCATGCATATATAGAACGAACAAAATTCAACTGTATGCCTAATAGTAGGGGTATTTGGCCGGCTACTTTCAACGTTACCAGGCCATTAAAACAGTGTAAAAGAGTCTCACTAGTTGGTGTTCAAATGTATGTTGTGGTAAAGCTGTAGGCTAGGCTATTGATTTAACTGCTACCATTCACTCTGCGATTCCGCCCCCCTTGCCCACCTCCTCCAAATGAATTTTGAAAGTTACACTTTCACTCTAATTTACTGTAAATAACTAATTATCAAGTATTGGTTTTGTAGGGATTTTGTTTGATTGGTTGAAGGATTTCATCATGAGCTGACATTAGTTAGAGAACCATTGGAAAACCAGAGCTGGAGTACTGGACAGCTGTTTCGTCCTAGTTTGAGACTCTTCATCAGTACGCTTAATGGTCTACGAGCTCGCCTTCTAACCAGAAGGTCCCGGGTTCGAACCGTGGCGGTGGGTGCATACTGATGAAGAGTCCCAAACTAGGACGAAACAGTTGTCCAGTACTCCAGCTCCGGCTTTCCACTGGTTCTCTAACTGATGTCAGTTCATGATGAAATCCTCCAACCAATAACTAATTACATTTTCTTAAGAAATAATAGAGGTACTGTAACAGGATAAGACAAGAGAATCGGTAACGGAATGTTTATTTGCAATCTGATATACACATATTGTATTTCTCTGCCTTTTTTTCGTGTCTCCTATGTTTTGCCGTAATACTGGTTCACTTCCTCCTCCTCCTCCTCTCTTTGACATTAAATCTATCTCTCCGATGTTTGATATTTTTGTGCCGCGATGAACATCTCTCTACATGCTACTACTGATATGTTTTGTCAGTAGCACATGTCACAGTACAATCTTATATATTTCAAAACAAGCAATAAAGGTAAATAAAGCAGGATTTAATGAATTCATCAAATTTCGGTAGAACTCGTCAGCTGAATACTCTACATACACGGATATATATACTTTTGAAATTACATTGGGAGATATAGGACTGATAAGTAAACAAATTACATTGAATTAGTCATGCAGAAAGACAGGTGCGAATGCTTTTCCAGGTCATGTTCAATTAGATAAGGGGAGAGAGAGTATGGAAGATCAAAATTAAGATAAATTGCATTACGCTTCAATTACATCAGTTAGATAAACAATTAGACATAAGAGAATTTAACAAGAATTGCAACCAGAGGGATGTCAATAGTAATAGTTATAATAACAATAATAATAGTATTGAAGTGAATTAAGATAATGCTACTGATAAAGGATAGTTTTAAATGAATCAAGAATAATAATAATATAATATTTCAATTTTTATCATAAGCACTACTTCTTTTCAATAAATATTTAATCTTAATTGTACTACAATAAGTAAAATGTATTTTTATGATAAATAAAATACTAAGCAAACAAAAAATATTATCAAACTGATCTAATCAATAAATTTAAGGTTATTCTTAAATACATTTACTATTGAATCTTTTCACTGATACAACACACCTATTAGATGTATAATTTTTATTGATTATCAAATGCCTACTTGAAGGTCACTTTCTGCCCATGTTATTTACTCTACAGTGGTTGAAAGCTGGGCTGAGCTGAGCTAGGCTGTAATGTGAAGATTTCATGCCGGCATTTGTAAATACAAAATTTAAACATCTTTAGTTATCGTGTACACAAGGATTCACTGAGTTCTCTTTTTTGTAGACATGAGACAGCTGGTAATTTCATTCAAGTTAATTATTTTTCCGAAAGTTTAATCATGAACTAATTTTAGTTGGAAAACTTTCGAAAACCAGGATGCACTCAACAGGTGTTTTGTCCTTACTTGGAACTCTTCATCCGTGTGCAACCACAATCCCACTGCGAGTCGGATTCAGAACCGTCAAGTTACGTAGCCAGACTCATTAAGCAATTAGCCGATTGAACAGGAATCCAACGGTCTGGGTTCGATGAAGAGTCTTAAAAACTAGGACGAAACAATCGTCCAATACTCTCTCTGATCCATGAAGTCGAGATCAGCGAAAGCACACAAGAAAGGTATACTTCTATGTATTCTCGATATGATGAATTTACCTCATCATCGCACTACTTATTAGTTAGTAGACCTACTAGGACCAATCAGGGGGCGATTTTCCCGCCACTCACTTCAAGATTCCTTCAACTTTGTCAACTCCATTGAGAACGTCAATGTATCTAGCCACACCATGCTCTGACTAGATGTGGTATTACTGTTTACGAACATCTAACTAACTGAAACAGTATGCAATATATGCGAAAATATTTATCCATAGGGGGGATAAACATCGGAATACACAATGACTATATAAAGGAACTATTGAGATGCATTCTAAGTGTCCAACTCTCCTTCAATAACGAAATATATCGACAAAAAGATGATACAGCTATGGGCTCATCATTGAGCCCATTGTTTTCAGATTTCTTCATGTCAAAACTAAAAAACACACCTGAAGGAAATAATCGACAGCTTTGAGTTTCACAAGAGATACATGGGTGATACTTTCAATATCTTGAATAATGAGGAGAATTTGTAGGACATGCTGGACTTTTTCAACATCTGCCATCCTACAGTTCAGTTCATATCAGAGGAGTTCAACACAAAAAAATCTTTTCTGGATGTTCAATTAACAAGACGTGAAGAAGATGGAACAATGAAAAGACGCATCTGCAGAAAGCCGACATGGAACGGACAACTCACTAACTCTCATAGTTGGATGCTTCAATATACAAAATTCCGGTGAACTATCATTTCTAGACTGCCTAGTTAGGAGGAGGGAAAACAGATATTTTCAGGAAGAAAGCCCACTCCAACAAAAATTTAGACTTCGGTTCATCACACTCCATCAGCGCAAAGGCATCATAGAAATATCAAACATTCCTCAGACTCTCAAGAAAAATAACCTCGTAAAGGACTTCATTAACAAAATCAACACCAACATTAAATATGGTCGGAAACCTACTCCGAAGACTTGGGCTTCAACAGTTGTCATTCCATATAGATTAGATATGTCACTATTCCTACTTCATTTTATTTTTACAATCACATTTTATTTTCTTATTAATGTAAAGAGAATATCATATAGTACTAGATGCTAAAAATTCCACATTGTATCAAACACACTGATAAGAATAAAGCCATTATTATTATTATGATTAAGGAAAACTCTTAACGTTACCATTTACAGGTGAACTATAGTGTTCAGCATCTTTTTGAAAGTGTGAACGCATAACTCGAAATTTGTGCATAATACTAGAGTCAAACTTGAGTCCTTAACAGCACTATATGTTGCCTGAGAGATTATTTGATTTGTGGTATTGTCGACTAGTAATTGATTTCATGAATCGGACTTCATCCCATATGGGGCTCTTCAACTGAATTTACTTGCGTCACAATGAGTTACGTTATTTTCAAACACTAAGGCTCAATCCACCAGTGTGCTGGGCTGTTCGAATGACATAAAGTTGACTGACTTCAGGCTATTAATAGGCCATCGAATGACATCGCACGCTGGGCCATCATCACTCTAGTGGAACCCAAATGGGAAGCAACGAGTGGGTCGTCCTAGGGTGACATGGAGGAGATGAGAGATTATGGGTAATTAAGGGGTCAGACAGCTGATGAGAACAGCAGAAAATAGAACAAAGTGGAGATGTGCATCAGTTGCCTTGTATTCCAACAACAGTCAGGATAAATATGGTATGATTAACTTCATATATATTGCCATGCAAGTGTAAATTCTCACGAAATTTCCTCTGATTTTACCTCGAAGAGATACAAGGTGAAAGATGTGAATAAAGGGGATGTCCAGTATCGGAAAGGATGACTTTAGCTAACTGTTTGCAAGAATTAACAATACCTATCAATAACGATGGTCTACGAACTCACCTTGTAACCAAAAGGTCCTGGATTCCAGCCCCTGTGGTGGATGCGTACTGTGAAGACTCCCAAATTAGGCTGACTAAACAGCTGTCCAGTACTCCAACTCTGGTTTTCCAGTGGTTCTCAAACTAATGTCAGCTCATCACTAAATCCTGTAACCAATACTTGAATAACAACACTGTCAGTTAGTTGAGTAAAAGGTGTACCACTAAACCTGCTTAAAGCCTTCAAAGTCCTACTTAATATAACATAGTCTTCTTGAGAAGTCCAGGAAAATGTAAGAGGGGCGACAATAAAGAAGAAAACATGAATTAATAAATTGCTAGAGATGAGGTTGGGTTATGTCAGCAGAAAGTCTCAGATACCTTATGTAGTAAATTAAACAAAAGTTTCTTCGATAAATACATAAGACGATCCAAGAGGATTGGATGGAAAACTGATACTAAGATAGGCAACATCCGACTTATTTCCCACCAACACATAAGAGCAGTGGAAATGAATAAGGTGAATAAAAATTGCAATAGTCAGAAATTCAAAATCATTTAAAATGAAAAGCCCAACAGTTTACGCAGTCAATAAATAGCAGATAACATAGTATTGAAGCAGGTGTGGCGCGGCCTACTTATAACCAGGGAAATAAGTAGTATATGACATAGTATCCTTAGGCGAAGTTCTGTACATCAAATTGCTATAATTGAAGAAACTTCAATGAATATAAATTTCTAGGAGGAATAATGACATCAGAAAGAATGAATGAACCTGTGTCACTGACCGTTGAGAAAGATTTTGAGCCATATCACTAACAGTCTGAAGAAAATAGACCACAATATCTGGAGGACTGTACCTCCTTATCCGCCTCAAGCCAACAGTCAAAGACTTCATAGACTGATATCTTCAGCATCTTCCAGTCAAGACTCTTTCGGAACCTTTAAGAATTGTTGTCACATATAAACCAAGAAAATCATTTCACTCAGCTCTGTGTCAACCAAAGGACTCAAGATCGTAAGAAGATAACACCAACATCATCTACAAAATAAATTGTAACAACTAAGAAAAACACTACATTGGCCAAAGTGGACACCCTCTTCGTCTTCGCATCCATGAACACAAATTAGCCATCAAAAGACATGATATCCACTCCCCATATCACTGAATACAAACAACCACAGACATTAATTCGTCAAGGACAATGTTCAAATGTTAGATAGAGGAAACGTCAAGAACACCAGAAAATTTTCGGAAGCCTGATATTTACGTGAATCGGCAACTAACTAGCACATTGACATAGATCAGATTTACCAATCCATAAGGGGAAAATCTAACACACAAAATGTCAGACTTCAGGGGTCAAGGAAACAATCATTACCAAAACAAGTCGACTAGAGGGTATGAAAACAGATACAAGTAACCAGTCACGTTCAAAGTCACTAGGACATATGACTAATAAACTCGTGGAGAAATTTATAAGCTCATTTCAAATTGAAGTATGCGCTGAAGATGTTGGCCTAGTTAGACAATGGAAGCTTCGCAGCCAAAACCGTCCAGCTCAGAGTACACAAATACATCAAAATCATCCACCTGGGCTATAAATCTTCTCTATTATATCTAAAGTCAACATTCAAGCCTAACAAAGTTTGATTCGTTTGTAGTTCAATGGTAGGATGCTCTCCAAACATGCACGTGGTCCGGGGTTCGATTCCCAGCTAAGGAATGCAGTTGGCAAACGTAACTTAGCTGGTAGTAAGTCTGGTAAGGAAGGAAGGTTAAGTGTGAGCCTAGCAACAACACCATTGCTACCAGAACTTCAAATCTGAAGCTTAAAGCCTTCGATTCCACTCAGAAAGCAAAACAATTAAGGTAAGATAAGGAGGCTTTAAAGAGCAAAAGACAACGAATATAACAAGCATTTTATTATTTCACTGAAGGACAAAAGAGAAGTGAAGAATCACTTTACACAGAAATGGTGTGATGTGATGTGATATGATATACAAAAAATAAGCGGGATAATATAATGTGAAAATAGTAATTGTATTTATTCTGATTATTTAACTCTTATATTCTGCTTGTATAGTGGAAGTTTTTATTTATGATGATTTTCTTAGCAGTTGATTATGCTTACGAGCTTCATAGAAGAACTGGGGCGTTTTGATAGTGTACCTTGATACATATATGTACACAGAGAAGGAAGAGAGAAAACAGAAAAACATTAATCTAATGTTATAGTTAATATTATGATGATTGTCTATTTTAATCCTCTGCATTCCCAGTGGAACATAGGGATTCAAGCTTTGGGCTTTGAATTTTTCACTAGCAATGGTTCTACTTCTACGGGGTGGAATTACTGGTCTCGTGTCCCACTTTCCCTCTTTACCTGTTTTACTTATTACTGGCTAAGTGGGAATTAGGAGTGCGTCCGTCGGGAATCGAACCCCGAACTACGTACGTGGATGACAAGTATTCTACTACCACCGACGCATTTAATGCCACCTGTAAAAATGATCTTTGATATTTGTGTGTATGAATGGAATTGATTCATCTCATTTTTGACATGTGAGCTCATTCATGTACACGTGATTACCTGTTGATTTGTATTATCACAATGCGTGTTTCGTCCTATATAGGGCTCGTCAACCGATTTGCTTTATCTTCTAGTGAATGTTGCTGTTGTTGTCCCTCTCATTGAGATTGAAACCTAGTAACCCCGGATCCAAATATCAAAGTGTTATCTACTAGGTTGAAGGGAGAATATTTTAATTTTCAATTGGTTAGTTTGTTCGCTTTCTGTTCAAGATGTGTTTCTCTTCGTATTTGAGAACATGAGTCAATAGTTAAAACGAACGGGAGACAGAGAGAAATAACACGGATTTTTTTCATTTTTGATTATGAACAGACTTCAGTTAGAGAATCACTGAAAAGAAGGAATTACTGGGTGTTGTGATTAGCAGGGTCTACTAAGTCAGGCATGAGGACTGATACTCACAAAGAAATTGGCTAGCCATCGAGCTATTTCACGAATTGGTAGAATTTAAAATTGATAGGCCATTGGGTACTGTCCCACTGGCTGTTTGGTATACAAGATTTCCATTGTGACCTAAAGGTCCTGGGTTGGAGCCACACTTGGATTATCCATGTGTACTGCTGAAGAGTCAGTAGAAAATTACGGGGGGGGGGAATAGCTGTTCAGTAGTTCTCTAACTGAAGTCGGTTCGTGATCGAGTTTAAAATCCATCGATTCCCTGCAAACTAACACTTAAGGGCATCGATGTATTCCAGTTTGCATCATAGCTTGAAAGTCATAAGTGTATACTGTTGAAGAGCCTAAAATAGGACAAAACAGATGTTCAGTGCTCCTTAGTTATTTCTGTATCACTGGCTCAGTGGTAGAATGTTCGTTAGCCGCATAAGAGGTCTGGTTTTGATGCCAAGCCAACACACTCATAAACTTCGCCTAGCCAATCCTTAGGACGGAGAAGCAGAAAGATTGGACCTGTGAGGCTAGCAACTCCACTCCAAAAAAAGAAGACTTTCACTACTGAAACTTTTATCTAGAAGCCTTATGTCCCAATTGGAATGGGAAAAAATTACTTTGAAAGACGTGGATTAATTCTACTTAGAAATATCAATATCCTTTTAAGATATGTTAAACGAAAATACAATATTAATTTTTGGTGGAGTTACGCAATACAAAAGGCGTTCAGAGGAATTGGATGTTGATATAAGAAGGTAGTAACAAAAGTGATGAGTTGTCACAAACGATTGTTAAAGAAGAGTTACGTAATAACATGAATAGTTTGATGAAAGAGATGGGCTCAGAGTGTACATGGAGACAAAACAACATACGGAATTACGCAAGAGTTTTAAGTAGTTAGAAAAAAGGCAAGCAACAGTTAAGTCAAATCAACAGAATTGTAGAAGTGAAGAACAACTTTGTAGATTACTGGTCATTCCATCTCAACAAACACCTCCTGCTTCAAAGTAATATACAAAGTGAAGAACAACCTGCCAAAGACAATACATTTCCGTCTTTTTTGCATTGCAGAAGCCCTAGCCAATTAGTTAGAAGAACCAGAACTATGCACACGAAAGAAAATTATTCAACCACTTCTACTATCATGATAACAACTCTGTTGATTTGACTTAACCTTTTTGCTTGTATGCTTATTTTTCTAACTCCTCAAAACTCTTGCGTAACCCCGTATGTTTTTTTTCTATGTACATCCTGAGCACAACTCTTTCATCGAACTATTCATGTTATTCATATGAACTGTGATCAAGATTTGACCGGAAAGTTGCAAAATAATTGAGATTTTTTGCAAATATAACATAATTTTATAAATTTGTTATTCTCTCCATAAGAAGACGTGGATAATCTGGAATTTGACCAAGTGTGACTAGTTGTTGATACATATCCAATTTATTTATTAGTCAGGATTTGCCATGCATCAGCTAACATCACACCTTCACGTCTGTTCAAACTGTTGGGATTCACCCATATATGTAGTACTTCTGCAGTCAGTCTTTCTTTATATGAACCAAAACCTTTCTGTAGGACCTTAGTCTTATCAAAGTCGATTTTGTGTCCCGTTTCTATCGAATGCAGTGCAATCGCTGATTTGTTTTCTAGCTTCTTCAAGTCTACAGAGGTCTTTGACTGTTCACCCACACACACATACACACAATTGTATACTGCATATACACATATATTTTAACAAAAGTAGACTAAATTTGAAAGTCTGAGGTCAAATTTTGATCACAGTTCATACAATTTTGTTTATTATACATGTTGATGCCTGTTTCATAGCTCATGATTGGACAAAGTTTCAAAAAACAAGAGATGTTCCTTTTATATATAAACCTCTGTTATGTTAATTTCGATTAATTTCCCTGAAGAAGTTCGGACCAGAATGCTGAACGAAACGTTGGAATTATTCATTTAAATTTCGCTGAGATTTTACGAATATAATTTTATAAATATTCATGTTATTACTTAACTCTTCTTTAACAGGCGATTTTGACAACTCATCACTTTGGTTACTACCCTCTTATATCGAAATCCAATTCCTTTGAATGTCTTTTTTATTACGTAACTCCGCCAAAAACTTATTAATTGTACTTTCGTTTGACGAAGGTAATGTACACACACATACAAAATAACTATATGTACATATAGATATTTGCGATTGTACAGTTGTGAAAATGAATTCGCTTAAAAGAGACTCATCGCTGAACTCCTGTTCTTCTCTCTATTAATGTTCAACTGGAGATTTTTTTATGAGTCTTTTGAAGTTACATCTAGATGAAGAGTCTTAAATAAGACGAAACTAGCTTCTAGGTTTCCATTGTTAGCCACCCCTGACCAACTGATTAATCCAGTTCTTAAAAATGACAATATCTCAACAACAACAACAAAAAATGAAAACAAAACGACGCGGAAAATTTGATATGAAAAATATATACATATACGAACAGTTCTCAACACAAAATCAATATTATCGGTTAACTGAAGAGAAACTACTTCTGAGGTACAGTGTTTTCTTGTCTAATGACCTTCATTTTTGTTTAATTATACTATAGCAGCCAGATATACAGTTTATTATAATCAATGGTTGGAATGATAATAATTTACTGGCAATCTACGAAACTTGATATTTGTTCTGTTAAACAGCCTTGAACAAACTTATTCATGTTCTACATTTGTATAATATGCGAGAAAGTTGATTTCATAATTACTAATTCTTTTAGCCTTTTAAGTTCATTTCAAGTGAGTGGGCGTTCTCATTTGTGTATTTTTGAAGTCTCAAATACATATTCATTACTACTGCACACTCTCAGTCAATACTATTGATCACTGGTCAATACTTCACAAAGCAAAATTATAAAATATCTCTCATTTACAGTAATGTTGATATTTCATGAAATTAATTTAGTTCAAGATTTCCGCCTAACTCCATTTTAATGCGGTTTTAAATTAAATAAAATCGATACAACTGACGTGGATATATATGTAATAATGAAATTAAACGCAGTGAGACAAAAAACAACGGAATTCCCAATACGACACCATTTTAACAACATTCCTCAGCTATTGATTCTTAACATTACTCAAAATAACTGAAACCAACATTCAAAAACTTCAGTAATGAGTAGCATGTTTTGTTCTAACTATCACTAACTCTTTTGTTTGGACACTAGTAACTAGTATGACGTGTCTAGTCCTTTCTTTGGTGCAGACTGAATTCTATCAGTCAGGTATTTGCAATGTGGTCATCATTCTAGGTAACTCGCCATCTAATATCATCAAATCAATGTGCACAGTGATGGCGAGCTACCTAGAATGGTGACCACATTGCGAATACCTGACTGATAGAATTCAGTCTACACCAAAGAAAGGAATAGATACGTCACACTAGTTACTAGTGTCCAATGAAAGTATTCACTACAGTCCTATAGGAGGTCAATCGCGAGCCCGAATAGCACAGTGGTAACGTCTCTGACTGCAGCACTGGGTGACGTGGGATCGAACCTCAGAAAGGCCATGAGTTCCTTCAAGGTTACAGATACGCCTTGCTGACTGGTGAGTACCAACAAGGTCTAAACACAGGTCAAACAAGGTTTCCTGACAATTACCTCCAACTATCTAATATCACTAACTCTTTCCCAACCTAATCCTTTGCCAGATAACATTGCCTGTGGAAGAAGGTGCTCTCGGGGTATGCACAGATATATCCTAGCCATTTCCTGGCGAAAAGTCAATCCCAAAGACATCGAGGTTGGTCATAGTCATCTTCATCGATGCATCTATGTTGAAGTTAAATAAAGATAATGACTTCATGCATCATTGATGAATACCACTGGTTGTCTTCAGTTCAAATGGCAACAGTTTACATAAGCTTCAACACGACTGCCTGATCTTCTGTTGCGTATCTTGAAACGACTATGATAAACATTTTATCCGTCAAAGTGGACATCCTCTTTGCCTTCGTGGATTGGTTGTCTCTGACTTGAAATATGATCCACAAGGTAATGCGGCAGTGTCAGGAGCCGAGTCTCCATGGTTTTCAGTGTCCAAAACAAGTTCATACACCATCCAATCATTCGAAACTCCAGAGCCCATGTAGACCATAGATTAGGAATCAGGCTTTTCTGCCTTCAGTAGGTAGATCAGCATGTCGACCAGCCCAGTTGTAAGCGCCAGACGTTCGGATTCGCCCTCTCACTTTTGTGAGGAGCACCCACGCTGTCACATGAAGGCAATGAATAGGACTTACCCGACAGCGAATATGGACACACGGCGACATGTCATGGCATTTCGAGAGGAAAACTGAAGTTTACCCAGACTCAGGTGTAACAGGTCGTTCATGAGGGCGATACGCGTAGACAGTTACTGACACCAGTTCGACACGGAAAAGGTGCAAATCTTGGGCATACTGAAACACTGAGAATGCCAGGGTTAGTTATTTTAATGTGGTTGTATCCTTTGAGTTGAGCGGATTAACTGCGGAGCATTCAGTGTCTTACTAGACTACATCCTGAGCGCGAAATTCAAAACAACGTGAACTTGTTTGAATTCTTCGTCAGTGATACACTTGCATCTCCTGATAAATATTTGTTTTAATCACTTGATAATTCGGATCGGTACTGATCATTTTTATTGACTTGAAATTAAACTCCTTTTTCCTCATGTGGCTTATAAGTTGTTAACTTTGATCTATAATATTGTATTTGTTGATCAGTTATTCGTCTGGGTGAGTACCAGACCTCTAGGAATTCCCTGACAATTCTAGTGTCCATGGTTGGAGGTAATCCTTAAGGATACCTCCTTCAGCAATAAATTTCCTAAAGGGGTTTTGTGTGACTTGTGGCATCCACTTTACCCTCAGCTTTCACCTTGCATCTCCTCAGGTAGAACAACAGAAGTAACTTCAGAAAACTGTATGCTCGCACATCTAAGTATAAAAATTCTATGATACCATACTTGGCACGTATTTTATGTGATGAAAATAGTGTCTGGCAAGAATTGACCAACCTTTTTTCATCTAGTAAATAAACAATCTCCTCCATCCATCCTTATATACCTTCAAGTTTTACTTTTATTATTTCTATTATATTTATGGTCCTGTTGCTTCTTTGCTTTACTTTCATAATTGCAAACATCAACTTATCTCTATGACTGCTGTAATATTTGTTTTTCCCCTCACCAAATCATGTAAAGAGAACATTATATTCAATATTTTTAATCATGCAAGGATTTGTATACCGCATTGACAATACTGTGTGAAACAAGCCCACGGCAATTTCCACTTGTATTATTATTATTATTACCTTAGCTGTTATCATTATTATTATTTCCATGTTATATACTGCATGTTTTTTATTTATTATTTTTTTTTATATTAACCCTATTGTATATGTAGAAAAATTTTCTGTGTGATTAATTTTATTTATAATTTGAGGAAATTAGATGCAATATTATGATTAATGCTGAAAATTCCATTCTGTATCACAAGTACTGTTTTTGGAATAAAGTATATTATTATTATTATTATTATTATTGACCTAGGTTACGTGTTTGTTAGCACTCATCAGAAAGGAATTGCTGTTCCCTCTGAGATTTGAACCCACATGTCATAGAATTCAGTAAGAATCAATCCAAGGAGCAATCCAAGACGCATGATAGGAATTGGCCTAAAACAGTAATCATTTTATGATTCATCGTGTGATCACATGACTATAAAGTTTTATCACCTTATTCTGGTCTTGGTATCTTGGTCAAATCGCCAACCAATCAGAATATTTGTTTTTCGTGGGCCTAGCCGAATAACCTACCAATCAGAATAATTTATTTCCACTGACCTAGACAAATTGTAATGTGGTTAAAAATATGTATAAATAAAACGTGCTTTATTCCTAATAAAATCGTATCCTGACAGTTACAGATCAGTTTTGTATTTTGATATTTACGTGGCTGAGTGAAGCAGAAGGTACTAGGGACGTTTAGGTATGTCTTGGACATAAGTTGAGTTTTTCATTGCATCAGTATGATTATATCTATGTATAATTCCACTCGGTCATATCAACTGTCGACAAAGTCATATCAAGTGGCAACATAGATCGTAATACAATACACTATATTGATTAATTTCCTAAAGTGACTGAACATTGTATGTCTAAGGATTATTTTAACTCTTCTCATTCATGTTGTATGCGGAAGAAATTGTATAATAAAATCTGGTAAAGTTAAACAATACCGTCCCAAAGGAAGTGAACGTAAAAGTGACCTTGAGCCAACCAACCATACAAATAAGTGATTTTTGCACAAAAAAAGACGTTTAATTGCAAGCGAATGCACGAAAACACATTAAACAGAGTATCTTTCTCTGACATGACTTAAAAATATGTCCCAGTTATAATGAGGAGTATCAGTTGCTAAGTTAGACCAATTTTTGTACATAAGTTCCCTGAGGTGACTTAAAGTGAGCTCGGTTGAACTACTATGGTTTCCAGTAAGAGGATCAACGATTACTCAATAGCAGAATGTGGATAATAAAACAAATTAAAATAAATAATACCAAGTCCTAATCTATCCCTAATCGTAACCCTAATACCTAACTTAACCCTAACGAGCTACTAACACATTATCCAAACAGTACTTAAAAACGTGATCTTGGTGGAATTTGCTCCTTAGTCGATGAGAAGCGTTCATATTTGCACCATAATAATGACATTTGTGCTTAGCTAACGACCAGCATTCGTTCAAGGTCATTGGAGCGTTCGCACCCATGGGACACTATTGTTCATCTTAGCCTAAGATTCAAATTACAGAAAAATAACCTTACACATTTGAAAATACATACATACCATCTTGAGACAGGTTTTCTAATTCTCTCTAACATATCTAATTTTTCTGCTTGCAGTAACATTTTCTCTTCTAATTTTAAACGTTTTAAACGTTCTTCAATTAAATTCTGATGAATTGGAGAAATGAAAAGATTGTTGTTGTAATTCACGAATCGATTGTTATTCAATTCTGTAAAGGTAAAATAAAATAAATAACATTAACTTTTGCTATTAGGCAGTTGGAGGCAGTCAGCAGAAAGCCCAGCATTGGACCTAGGTTTTGCGCTAGTTGGCACTCACTAGTCAGTAAGGCGTATCTGCAACCTTGTAGGAAATCATGTCCTTTCTGAGATTCAAGCCTGCGTCAGTCAGTGCTGCAGTCAGAGATATAACCACTGAGCTATTTGGGCTCGCGACTGACCTCATGTAGGACTGCACAGGATACTTTCGGCTGGACACAATTCAAAGTGCACCGTGATGGTAAACGACCTGGAATGGTGCCTATATTGCAAACTTGACTGATAGAATTCAGTCTGCACCAAACAAAGGACTGGACACATTACACTAGTTACTAACCAGTGTCTAATCAATAAACATTAACTTTTGTTTAAATAATATGTAACAAATACACTATAACATGTTAATAATCAATGTTTGTTAACTGAAACATATTTCTTGATTGATTGTAAAACATAGTCCCTAGCCTAATCGAAACAGTATTCTTTTGAAATCAACGTGGAGTACTACACCACCTCCTCACACGATATGCTCCATTTCACCTTCAGATCAAGGCTAAACTCATAGTTTCCTCTTCGCGTTCCAATCAAGGGCCAGCCTGGTTCGCGGTGTCATTCGACGGTCTCCACAGAGTGTTGTCCACCCATTTCCACTTTCTTCTATATATTTGCTGACCAATAGGTTCTTGGTTGCTTTGTCACCACCGCTTTTGGTTTCTAATCCTTTCTGGGCAGCCGTTTTATCTTTTGTATGGGACTAGTGAAGGCAACTGTTGATAAACATCTGTAATATGACGCGAGCGCCAGGTCACTAAGCCATTTAGAAGCGCCGACTGACTTAATATTGGTGTTGAGAATCCGAATTTTGGTTGTGAATGCTGCTGCAGAGTTCAGAAGATTGCCAGACTGACTTCAAAGTGATAAAGGTTTGTCTTGCCTTTCCTACTCTGGTTTTAACATATTCATCTGTTTCGCCAGAAACTTGTTTTATATGTGACAAAATGATCGGTCTCTACCGTTACAGGACCAGATGACATTCCTCTCGAAGCACTGAAGACGGCCTCAGAGATTACGGCAGATGTTCTCATTCCATTACTGCAAAATGTTTGGAAGGAAGGAAAGGTACCCACTGATTGGAAGAAAGACTACCTTATCAAACTGGCAAACAAGGGCGATCTAGGCCTCTGGAAAACTGGAGTGGAATGATGCTCTTGTCCCCGCCAAGTAGAATGCTAAGTCGCTTCATCCTGCTGAGAATAAAAGGCGCGCTGGATGCATAACTCTGTCAGCCCAGAACAAGCTGCATCCAGGAAAGGCAAATCATATGCTAATCAAATTGCAACTCTACGCATCGTCATCACAGAACAAAGCATAGAATGGCAGTCAAACCTCTACCTCAAATTCATCGACTTCGAAACGGCCTTTGACAGCGTTGATCGACAAGTAATTTAGAAACTTCTCCAACACTACGGCGTGCAGTGCCCAAGACTTTGTCAACCTTATTTAACAGCTATATGACAATGCCACGTGTCAGGTGATCCGCAACGGAAAGTCGGCGAGGCGTTTGAAGTGCATAAAGGAGTAGGACAAGCTGGCTGCCTATTATCACCGATGATATTCTTAATTGTGGTGGACTGGATTATGCCTCAGACTGTTTGAGGTGAGGAGTCAGAAATACGCTGGACCACCGATAAGAAGACTCTAGTAGATCTGGATTTCGCAGATGATATATGTTTCATGTCACACAAATTCGAAGGCTTGCAAGCGAAAACCAACAAACTGACAGGAGATACAGCGAAAACAGGACTCTAGGTTAACACAAAGAAGACGGAGGTGATGAAAATAACCAGTCAACAGCAACAATAGCCCGCACCCATCACCATCAACGGGAGCGACTTAACAGAGGCTGCTCCCTCGCTTCACTTATCTAGGAAGCATCGTTTTAAAAACAGGCCAGTGGGTCGGATGAAGATGTCAAAGTCAGGATCGGAAAAGCAAGACAAGCCTTCATCAACCTGAAACCGGTTTGAAAATCTTCTGCACTCAGTCAACATAAAAAACAAGATTCAGATTTTCAACACAAATGTGAAGTCGGTCAGTGATTTTATACGGGTCAGAAACTTGGCTAGCGTGTCACGAAAAGGATTTCTAATAGGTCACAACAGACTTTTATCAACAGCTGTCTTCGTTGGCTCCATACTGAAAGAATAGGCAACAAGAAACTGTGGGAACAAATCAACCAAGAACCAGTCCCTTAACAAATATGTAGGAGAAAATGGAGATGGATTGGGCATACATTGAGGAGACCATCGGATGACATCATGCGCCATGCAGGCCATTGCTCAAGTGGAATCCGAACGGGAACCGACGAGTGGATCATCTATGCGAGGGTGACATGGAAGGGAGGAGATGATAGATCATGGGCAATCGTGGAGCCATCTGAAGACGACAGCAGAAAATAGAACAAAGTTGAGATGTGTTGTTGAAGCCCTATGTTCCTCTCGAAATCCAAGGGAATAATAATAGTAATCTCCCTATTTTTATTTTTCTGGAAATGATTTTATTTCTTTCCAAATGACTATTCTTCCCTTTACTGATTAGTCATCAACCCTCTGTATTATGTAAGATCATCCAATATTTTTCATACGTTTTTATACCACATACACTTTCATAGAGAAGAAAATGCGTTCAGCAAAGAGTTACTCTTTTCGGCGATATCATTCTCAAGCTGTACAAACCGCAAATTTATAGTAATTTCTCTTGGCAACAAAAGGAATATTTCCAAAGATGTGTTAATGCAATTGTTAATTTTTGACAACAAATTACCTAATTTAGAAGGCGTTAATCGGTTAGAAACTAAAATAAATTTACAAAAGTAAGTTGGGTGACGTAATCTAATTGATAGGGTTCAATGAAAAATGAATGAGAGTTAAGTTAATAATCTGAGTAGAATTCACTTGAAAATGAATGAGAGTCAAGTTAATAATCTGAGTAGAATTCACTTAAAAATAAAGGAAATGGAGTTAGCAACAGTCGTCATGAGGGTAGAGATTTAATAGAGGGTGGGGGTAGAAAATAATGCAATTAGGAAAACAGACAAACAAAGAAGAAAGAGGTCAGACAAAATTACGTATTTGGTGTTGAGATAGATCAGGACCATTGTAGATTTAGTGACTGAACAAACTTCTTTTGTATGCAGAGTTCAGGATTCAATATGTGAATTGCCATTGCTTCTTCAGTTTGAAGAAGTTTAATTCGTACTCTTTTGGCAAGATTCCCACGTATTATGTAGATAACTGAGAAGTTGTTTTGTGGGTTTGCTTGGTGTCCGGATTCGATCAAGTGTTCTAGGATAGAGCTGTGGCGGGGGGATCTTCTTTCTACTTTATAAAACCATGAAGGTAAGTGTTCGCTGATTCGTTTGGATAGCAAACGCTGGGTACGGTCGACATACCTAGCTCCACATGAGCAGGTGAATTGATAGATTCACATTGATGAGGCCCCCAGTGGGAGCTTGTCCTTCACGTTCGTGCGAATCATACACTTTTATTTACCATTGTTACCAACCTACAGTGATATCTGACCTTTGTTGTCAGTTGACATTGCATAAATATCCTACAGAACTGTACTGCTTTGAAGTGAATTCATTAAAAAAAAAGAGATTTGCTTCACTAACTTATGTGTTCTTAATTGCATTAATGAGTCGTTATCAGGATTAAAATTCTCTTCACTTTTGTCTTCTTCAAAGACTTCTCTACTGATAAGTAGCTTATCACTGCTTTTCCATTGACGTTGGTTTGATAACTAGAAGGTATGGTAAGTAAAACCGACAGTATGACAACCGAACTTGAAAAACCAATCAAATCATTTTTCATTTAATATTCATTCTATTCAGGAGTTACTATGAAGTTTCATTCTTCTGTTGTTGTTATTTTTTTCTGTCAGAATTAGGTCAGGCATTGGCTTAAGGTTAGGAAAATGGTTTGGTCTAGAATTATTATTGTTATTATTCTCTTGGGTTCCTACTGAAACATAGGGCTTCAACAGCAAATATCCACAATGTAGCGTTCTTTGCAGTCCTCCTAGGGTGGCCTCCACAATTCCTTATTAACTTTCATCTCTTCCCTACATTATCTCCTCCAATATCACCGTCGGAATCAGGTTAAATTCATCGTTTCTCAATCAAATCTCATTCACGGTTATGGCTGACGTGCGATGTCGTTCGACTGTCTCTTCAACGTGTATTTGATCCACCTTTATCTTCTTCGGCATGTTTGTTGAGTAAAAGGTTCCTGGTTGGTTCGTTCCCAGAGTATCTTGCTGCTAATTTTTTCTGGCTGGCTGGCTATCGGATCTTCAGTATATAGCCAGGGAAGTGGGCAGCTGTTGGTGAAAGTCTAAAGTAGGCTATTGGAAATGCTTCCAATGATATATGCGCCAAGTTTCTAACTCATACAGAAGAACTGATAGGCTGAACATTTGTGATGGAAGTCTGAATTTTATTCCTTTATTCTGAGAGCAGCAGATTTCCACATTGATTTCAGAGTGACGAAGGTTAGTCTTGCTTCTCCTATCCTATCTGGCTTTATATGATATTTTGCAAAACGCTGACCGAAAATAGGGACGCTGAAGTGATGATAGACGCAGTAATCACGAGTATCGCTTGTTTTCGCCAGCCAGGTATAAAACAGCTAACCTATCTCCCAGCAGGCAACTTAAGCGACACCATACCAAGGAAGAAACAGAAAGTAAGCATACTTACACCCTAATGTATAATTCAAAATATCACCATGGATATATCAACTAGCCTGTAACGATAGTCGATAAAATAGTGGGTGTATTTTATGTGAGTCAATTCTGATTCGTTTACTTTTAGACTGGACATTGATCACCATATCATTTTGACATCTTCATCTATGCGGCCTCCCTGTAGTTGAAACGATACTGCTTAGATAAGTGAATGAATGAATAACCTCTTTCAAATTTCTGCCACTGACTGGTGATTGGTGCTTGTTGCTGTTGCGGTTTGATTATCTACATCACTTCAGTCTTCTTAGTGTTCACTTGGAGTCCTGTCTTTGCTGCTTCTTCTGATAATTTGTAGGTTTTCGACTGTACGTCTTCGAATTTATGTGACATTAGACTTAAATCGTCCAAAAAGTCCATATGTTCTACAGTCTTCTTTTCGGTACAAAGATAAGGATTTAGCTTTTATTAAGAAATCGATTTATGAGTTATTGTCATAGTGAGATAAGTAATTAGGGAATGGATTAGTATTCCATTTATTTCCCATTTGTTACAATTTAAATTTCTCTCCATTTATTTGTTCTAAATATGCTTTTCTGATCAGTACTGTCTTTTCCCTTACGTGATTTATTTGATTGCTTTTTCACTAGATCATTTGGTAAATCATTGAGTTTGTTAATTGTTCTTATTGGCGGTGTTCTTCATAGCTGCCATTACTCCATATACTACTGACTTCTGCTTATAAGTAGCACAAACCACTATGTATAATTTCCAGCTGTTGTCAATATTAGTTAGATAAAGTAAACATCCGAAGACAGTTGAAAATGTGGGTAGAAATGATACTTTTTTTCATGATCATGGTTTCTTACAAGAACTACCTGAAATGGTGTACGAATTTAGGCCGTATTGTCCTCCTAAAAATGTCGCCTATTTAACAGGCATCACGATATCATCTGACGAAAGCGTAATATAAATTTCACCTAGTATTCAACTGATGAATAAAAAGCTCTTCGTCAATGCAGTACATCATTTCTTTGAGTAAAGCGCTGTCAAATCGGTCAGTATCTAAAACACGTGTAGAATAGCGAGTACAGTCACCAGAAACCTTGATGGGTAATGAATACGCTATTGAAATCTACTTTTTCGGGATATTGTTCTGTAATATTTTGTTATTTTGGTTATCATCTTCATTACTGTTGCGATTGCTAGTAGAAATCATGCATGGAGTTGCACGCTACGCAACTGCATAGTTAAATCATATACCGAGGGAGAATGGAGTGTACCTCAATCAACTGAACACAAACAACTACATCCTGGTTAGCTACTTTTTTTGGGGGGGGGGACTGGTCATTTGCAAATCAAACACTATGAAGTAAGAATTTATCGCAGTTAACCCCCGAGCCACAGAAGTGACTGAAACCGCATTATGCTATCTATTTGACGCAACAAATGTCAGCCAAGACGAGGAGTTACATATCAACCTGGTTGGTATATTCTACTCATCGGTATTTGTAGTTGAGAACTAGTCAATTCAACCAGCAGTGCTTGGTAACCAGATAGAAGTTATCCAAACACTAGACTACACTTTCGATTGTTTTAGGCGAATCGTAATTCAAATGATTTCAACTGTTTCACCTAACTAAGGTTGAAACGAAACTTTGCATAATAAAAACAAGCACTTTATTCCAAACAATAATGATCATACACAATGGAAACTTTCAGCATTACGTAATCAGATGAAATAGAGGGTGAAAACATCCAGTTATCAGGGCAAGAAAAGACTGATAACCACTTCTTTCTGAACGCATAAATTGGGTTTCAGGCGCTTTATGAAGATTGCTTCAGCAAACTTGTACTCTTTTGCCTATTGATAATTTTGAACAATCTTGTGACGTCCACCTCATGACCCGTGTCAAAGAGATATCTGGCGATGGCACTGTTTAAGCCATTTGTTCCATTTCGAAATGGACGTTTTGGTGCATGCTCGGAAAATCGGAAATACGCCCTCCTTTCTGTTCTTCCAATGTAACTGCTCTCACAGATACATGTAAATTTGTCTTTGGTTTCGCAGAGAAAGTTATTCGAAGCTGAGCCGTGAAGAATATTTTCCTCAGTGAGAGGGACAGATGGTTTCTCAGTATTTCTGATGACGATTCCCTATTGAACTGTAGATTCTAGCAGTGACACTTTTTGAGAGCCTAAACTGTGAGCAGTTTAAGTGATTCAGGTTTCACCCATTTCGTGATGAAACGTTCTGGGAAGCCATTTTCGAGGAGGATTGTTTTCAGTGTTCAGGCACTTATATTATATTACTCCGCTCAACTCTATTTAATGTAATTTTAGTTTCTTCCCGATTAACGCTTTCTACATTACATGATTTGTTATCTGAAATTTACAATTCTAATAATGCATCTTTGGAAATACTCCTCTTGTTGCAAAGATAATTTATATATTTTTGATTGAACACTAGTCAGTAACTAGTGTAATATGTCTAGTCCTATCTTCGGTGAAGACTGAATTCTATCAGTCATGTTTGCAATGTGGCCACCATGCTAGGTGGCTCGCCATTACGGTGCACTGTGAATTGTTGGCACTAGATGGTTGGAGGCAATCGGCAGGAAGCCTTGGACCCAGGTTTCGTGCTAGTTGGCACTCATCAGCAAGGCGTATCTGAAACCTTGAAGGAACTCATGTCCCTTCGGAGATTGGAACCCGCATCACCCAGTGCTGCAGTCAGAGACGTTACCACTGAGCTATTCAGGCTCGCGACTGACCTCCTGTAGGACTGTATTGGATATTTTTGATTTATATATATCTATATATGTTTAGTGCCATGCAGAAAAGTGTGTACACCACCTGTCTGGGATCCGTATTATGCCAAGAATCAGTGTTTGAAGACTATTAGTGATACGTTCCAAAGTTGTTCTCATTAGCGTAGATGCACTCATTCTTTATCACCCTGCTTGTGAAACTCCTTACTAAACTCTACCCAGCTCATCACCCACTCGTACATCTTTCTCCACTGTAGTTTTATTATCCTTCCCTCATCTACTTTGGCTTCATCCTAAACTGATGCGCTTTAGTCTAGAGTTCTATGTTGATACTTCACTCCGTCTGGCGATCAATCCATATAGGAGATTGAGATTTCCTTGTGTCCTCCAGAAGTACCATTACATGGTAGGTCCACGAGTGGAACTGGAATGGGGAGTGATGGCTTAGACATCTGACTATGGCATAGAAAACATCGTGTGAGAAGGAAATGAATGCTTGTGTGTAGTCTGCTGAAAGTGTTGACATATGACCTGAGCGCAACGTAGTCCTGCCACTGGAACCCTATCCCTCACTCAAAAGGCAGAAAATGAATAATAATAATAAGACAACAAAGGTGGATAACTTAAAACTAAAAGGCATATATTCAACTAACTTGAATCTTCTACCAACTGATTAATTGATTCTTTTAAATATCCCAATGCAGTTGGCGGATTACTCTTCGGTGAGTATCGTCTAATTGAAGTAACGCCTTTAGACTCATGAAGTTTTCCACTTTCATCAATTAAATAATCAAAGTCTTCTTTGTCAACAGCTTGACGATAAACAGTTGTAGCTAAAGGCGGTGCCTCTTCAGCTAGAACACATTGCCATGGTGTAAAATTATCACCTGGTCGTTTAGTTAAGCCGAATGCAGGCGGTGAAAAGGTGTACAAATGTTGATTGCTTAACAAACTCAATAAATTCGTATCCTGCTAAAAGGGTTAAACAAGGAATTCGGAAATTGTTGATGAGGCAAGCTAGTCGTCTTTGTTGAAAATAATTATGGCCAAACCAACAAAAACACGGTTTCCCTCGAAATGGTCTTATCTTACCTATCATAATAGACTGACACCTTGAAGTTGGATGATAACTGAAATTATATTATGTTAAGGTGGATTTCTTTGACTGAACACTTCTCTGTAAGTAGAATCTTGCGTCTAGTCCTTTATTTCTCTGCTGCGCTCACTGAAGCTGGTGTCCCACAAGGTGCTGTACTCTCCCCACTTCTCTTTTCTTTCTTTCTACATGACTTACCATCTTCAAATGACATTAATATTGTCAAATATGCCGACGACCTGACAGCATCTTTGCCTGTCAAATGTCAAAGTGACTGCTCTAAACTAAATGGCTTTCTGTCAGAAATCATCCAGGGGCCAAGGAAAACGGTCTTACGTTAAACCCCTCCAAATGCCAAACAGTCAATTTCACCTTTAGGCATAAATCCGACTTAAACAAAGTGGTTGGCTCTCACGAGGTATGCAACATAGATGGCATTGAAATAGAAACCAAGTCGGAAATTAAATACCTAGGTGTCATTCTATCCGCTGATCTCTCCTGGTCGTCTCATATCTTGGCGATTTCTAAGAAAATATTCCGTCTTACCTTCTACATCAAGAAGTTAAAACATTCTGGTATAACCCAACCCTTACTCCTACAATTCGTTAACTGTCGCATTCTGCCTATTATTCTCTATTGTTCCCTCTTAGTTTTTCCCGGGCTACTGAAGAAAGACTATACCTTATTACACAGGATGTTAAAGGTTGTCAGCAGGATAAGCAACGTGTCACTTAACCAGCTTGTTAATATTCTGCTTGACAGGTACATGGACTCATGTGAAAAATGGGCCAAATCCATTTTATCTAACTCACACCAACCTCTTCACTCACAACTCTCCCCTCGTATCTCATCAGGCAAAACCAGAAGCCTATATAGAAAACTATATGCTTGCACCAGCAAGTACAAAAACTCAACCATACCCTACTTAGCTCGTGTTCTGTGTGATAAAGAAAGCATTAGGCGTGACACCTATAATCCATTAAATAGCCAGTAGAACAACTGGATCTCGTCTTTCCAACTCATATCATTTATAGGTACAACATTTTCTTTCTTTCTTTTCCTTTTCTCTCTTTTTTCTGTTTTGTGCTGCTTTGTTTCTTTCTCTCGCTTACGCCAGTAAATATGACAGCACCTACTTTTCTAACACCTTCAAACACTGTTCAGCTTTGGCTTTGCTACCGATATCCCAATATGTTGTTGTCATAATGAACTGAGATTTCCTTAATCTATTTAGAATTTAATTTATTCATAGTGTACTAACTGGATGCAATACTGTAGTAAAAATGCTGAGAATTCCATTCTGTATCACAAGTACTGTTTTGGAATAAAGCAAATTATTATTATTATCAGTCGAGTTTTGCAATGTAATCACCATGCTGGGTGACTCGCCAATACAGTGTACTGTGAATTGTTGATATTAGACGGTTGAAGGTAATCGTCAGGGAGTTTTGGACCTAGGTTCAGTGACAGATGTCACTCGTCAGCTCTGGGCGCGTCTGAACCTCAGAAGAGACATGACTTCCTTCAAGGTTTCAGATACGCCTTGCTGACTGGTGTTTGCCAACTAGCACGAAAACCAAGTGGAAGACTTCCTGCCAATTGCCTCCAACCATCTAATATCCAATAAGGTGTATTTCGTTACCAACCAAAACTAGTTACAGAATCATTGAGAAACAGACGGCAAGCACTACATAACTGTTTCGTCCTAGTTCAGGACTCTTCAGCAGTACATGCCAATGATCCCACCAGAGATTGGACCCAAGACCTACATATATATTGAGTTGGATGGGAATTCAATTACCCATGGTAATTCTAACCAATACCGATTCTGGATAAACTTTCAATGGCAGGCAGTAGAGTGAAGAAAGTTAACTTGAACTCAGCAGGAACCCCAGAAAGATCTAACAACTGACAAATAACTTTGTCCTTAATTAGTGAACCTGAGGAAGAAGTTATTGAAAACAATAATAATTAATGATTGAAATGAAATTAAGATATGACAACCTGCTGGGTTTATTGAATTGCTAATAACCTGTTCCAACTTACATATTGTAATTTCGCATTACTTAGATGATTTAACTTGGATTATTTTAGAGGTTATATGTTGTAGATATGTAATGAAGATTCATAGTAAATACTGAACCTTATTTCAGTTAGTTGGTTAATTGTTTAAAAATCAGTAACTCTTCACGGGTATTCTACGTATCAGACTATGAGTTACACTTAGTGTATAAGCGTCGTTTATAATCAAGTAAGTGCAGATGGACTCGAACCCAGGACTCACTGAGTGAGCATTAGAATCTAAAATCAATGAACCGCATCTCCACACCAACCCTAGTATTGTTCATTTAATACTTGATTAAAGTTTGTTTGAAGTGCTTTAAGTTTTCTTTTGACGATTACATAACTCTTCAACAAACAGGAAACAATAAGGCTTTATGATTTCTGATGTGACATACGAAAAGGATGATTGCTTTCCTTACTTTAATACAGATAATGTTCTCAAATGTCTCTAGTCTTTGAAACCTTCTCAATCCCTAGGACCAGATGGAGTGGCAGCTATTATAAAAGTATAAAACATGGGCACTGTGGTAGAGTAAAACTCCATTATGGATAAGACTTTATTTTGATAAATCACACAGTGGTGTTATACAGTAATATTAACTGATGACCACATTTCGAGCACAAACTATCACCGCTCATAATCATATCAAGTCACCCACAGAACTTTTTTTCTTTCATTTATATACATGTGTGGAATCGATTAGACATTTGAATAAAATTCAATATAGGATAATGTGCATTCAGAAATAATAATATGAATGTTATTGATCAATTACAATCAGATGGGAAATAAAACGAGTGTCTTTTATAGTCATAATATGTTACATGTTAGAATGTTATGATGTACGTGAAGTGAAATAGAATTTTAAGATTATTTATTATCCTCCTCTGATTTGACTGACTGGCGGTAATAATATCTTCCATATCTCTGGTATTTGCGATGAGTCATTTTTGTTGCATGTGTTGGGTGTAGACTCGATGAACCAGGGAGGATTCAGTAATCAATCTCTCTCTTTCCACTCATGTAAATAAATGAAGTAAAAAGTTGTGTGAGTGACTTGATATGATTACGAGCGGCAATAGTTTGTGCTCGAAAGGTGGTCATCAGTTAATATTACTGTATAACACCACTGTGTGATTTATCAAAATAAAGTCTTATCCATAATGGAGTGGCAGCTATTATACCCAAAAATGTGCGGATATTTTATGTCATACTTTTAGTGATATGTTAAGTGTATCCTTTTCCTCAAATACTGTGCCTGCTTCTTGGAAAGAAAGACACTAAAATTGTTCCGGTGCCTAAATCATCAAGTGGATTGTGCATTAATTGTCGACCTATTGTTATAACCCCACCATTTTTAAAAATAGTGGAAAAGTTGCCCTTACTTAACCTTAGACCTTCAATGAAGGCTTTTAATGACGCAAAACAATTTGCTTACAAAAACATGGCAGATATATTTTAGATGCCGCCGTCATTTTACATCCTAACATTATCTTCAGTTTAGAAAAAGGTTCATTGCGCCCTCCTAGATTACACACCTGCGTATAACTCTGTACCTAGGCCTCTGTTATTAAACAAGATTTCCATAACACAAGCATGTTGCTGGAAAAATAAGTGGTTGCATTCCTCTTTCTCTGATAGAAAGCACTACATTGTATATAAAGGAGAGCCTCTCACTGTTTTACTTACTGTGGTCGATGTTTCTCGTGGTGCTGTTTTTTTCTTGTGTTTTTTGTTGCTGTCTTATTTCTTCTTACATGATTTGATTCATTCTAATGAAGCCAATTTTGTTAAGTATGCTGGTGATTTGACTCTTTCCATATCGGTCAAATCTCAATTACTTTGATCCAAAATGAACAACTGTTCATCAGAAATTAGTCAGTGGGCCTCGTCAAGTCTCTTCAAACGTCAGATACAAACATGATTTACATGAACTGGTTCATTCCCATGGTGGTTCTTGTAGAATAAAAGGCACTGAAGTCGAATACTTAGGATTATTTCTTTCCTCTGGTGTTTGCTGGTCTTCCCCCATCATCTTAGTTTCCAGAAAGATATTTCGTTTAATCTTCTATGTAGGGAAGTTAAGACAATCAGGTATCATTCAGTTTTTGCCTTTGCAGTTTCTTAATTTTTGTATTCTACCCATTATTCTCTATTGCTCCCCACCGCTTTATCTTTCCTGGACTACTTAAGAAAGGCGTTGTTAAAAGCTATCCACAGGACCAGTGGGTGTCACTAAGCACACTTGTTAAAAATATTGCTGACAGACACTTGAACTCATGCAGAAAATTTACGAATTTATTATCTTATCGGATTCTAAATATCCTCCTTATATACAACTCTCCTGTTTCATCTCATCACGTAGAACTAGAAGTAGTTATAAACGACTTAATGTTCAGACGATTAAGTATTAGAACTCTACGATAACTAATTTGGTATGCATTTTATGTGATGAGAAAATTGCAAGGCATGACACTACTCACTTACTGTGAGACTGCCCACTGATCTGCAGAAGCCTCAAGGACAAGATCCCGCATCTGACCACTTCTATGTGCATATATCAGTTCACCTGCTGCTGTGGAGCCAGTCAGGTACATCGGTCGTTCGACGCGCACCCTGTCCAAGAGGACTCAAGAACACTATCTAGCATGGTTGCAAAAAGGCAATAGTGGTGCAATAAGGAGTGCAATAATTGAACACTTGGTTAACACTGATCATTCCATCTCAACAAACGCCTCCTACTTCAAAGTAATCTACAGAGTCAAGAATAACCTACCAGAGGCAATACGGTTTTGTCTTCTTTGTATCACTGAAGCTCTGACCATTCACATAGAAAAACCGGAGCTGTGCATACAAAAGAGGATTACTCAACCACTTCTACTGTCATCGTAACAACTTTGTTGATTTTTGATGACTTAATTTTGTTTATTTGCCTGTTTCTTTGATTGCTCATAATTCTTGTATTCATTTAGAACTCTTGCATAATTTCGAATTCTCTACTTTGTTCCTATGTATATCCTGGGTAAAACTCACTCATCAAACTATTCATATGATTGTATAACTTCTTTTTAACAACTGTTTGTGAAGACTCATCACCTTTGTTACTACCCTAATTTCATTAACACCTAATTTTCTTGACTGATTTTGTATTACTTAACTCAAATTACCAATCTTCACCTGTTTAGTTAAAACAACCATAACCAATTGTAATTTGTTTGACAAACTTAATGTACACAGACATACAAAATAACAAATATATTTGCGGTTGTACAGCTAAGAAAATGAATTCGCCGAAAAGAGACTCTTAGTTGAACTACGTGTTTTGTTTTCATTAGTGCCTGGATGGGGATTATACATGAATTAAGACAGTAAGTAAGCAGACCCTTTCTTATTCTTTCAATTATTAACATATTGTTATCAATATTGTATTACGTGCTGAAAATACCATATTATCCCAAGTATAAATGTTTGCAAAAGAGGCGTTATTATTGTTAGCAGCGTTATTCTGAAGAACATAACCGACTGACCAGTGGAGTAAAGCAGTTCGGGCATGAGGACATATACTCACCAGTGACATTCACTAGTGATCACGCCATATCATGTATTGGCAGAATTTGGAATTCATAGGCTAGTCATTGGATCGGATCCCAGTGCCCTGGTGGTCTTCGAGCTCGCTTTGTAACCAGAAGGTCCAGAGTTCGAACCCCAGTGGGTGATTGCTGTTGAAGACTAGGATGACACAGCTGTCCAGTACTCCCAGGTTTTCCAGTGGTCCTCTAACCGATGTCAGCTGATACTGAAATCCTGTAACCAATCAAATTTCCTGCAAACTAATACCTGACTAACAAAATGCCTTAGTATGACAAGGAATGCTTTTCAGGCAACATTTTATCAAACAATTAGAAGTTAAAATCTGATTTGAAATTAGTGAAACTTACCTTCATCATATCACCTAAAGTAACACTATAATATTTTTCGCGTAGGCTTTTATCACGATCCTGTCTTGTGTCGATTACATTTCTGACTGGAACAATTTGATTGTTTAAAATTCTTGATAAGTAGTCAATATTATCAAAATCTTTTATCATATGTAGTACAAAAGCAAATCACTAAGACAAAAAATAATACAGGAGAAAAAAGCACGAGAACTGATGAGTTATTATTTAATTAGTTTTTTGTATTAATGAGAAAACTTACGTCTTTGTTTAAAAAGCAAAATAAAAGTATGTTCATTTTAAAAAGCTGTAAACAAATGGTTACTCATGGAAACTAAATACAATATTAACAATAGATACATTGGTGGATCTTTTCGTGAACGGATTTAAAAGCTTGAATAAAACACCAATTTAATCATTAAAAAAAGTTCATTAATACAATTTGTTTAGACAAAAGAATAGAATCAGCATTAACTGAACCATAATAATAGCGGTTTCTAGGATGAGTAAAGTTTCTGTCACAAAATAATTTGTTAGTTCACATAAATTAAATAAACCAACTTCATTTACTAACTACATATGATGAATTGTAAGTTAGATCTGACATCAGTTAGAGATGGAATCCACTCATGACCCCACCGGAAATCGAGCTCAGGACATTCAAATTACATGAAAAGGACATGAGCATCCAGTGACCGGCTCATGAATTCTAACTCCTGCCATTTAGTGATATATATGATAAGACCATCTGATAATGGAAATCGGTGAGTATCTGACTTGCTGACGCCTATCTCGACTTCTTGCTGAAACTGTAGGCAACCCAATAAGATGCTGGATTCCCTCCCAGTGTCCTTATGGTCAACGAAGTTGCTCAGTAATATGAAAGTCCTGGATTCAGTCCTCAGTGAGGTCGTGGCTACATACCATAGAAGAGTCACACACCAGAACGAGACAGTTGTCCAGTGCTCCTCGATTTTCAGTGGTTTTCTAGCTGATGTTCACGTGTGATCTAACTTTGAAACAATCAAATCCACGCAAACCAACACTTAAATCGTAAACTGTGCACTATAGTAAAACTATCTTAAACTGTCTACAAAATGTACACATTAAATGAATCAAACAAACGAGTGGATCAATATTATTTCAAATAAATACGATCATAGTAAGATCTTTAGAGACAACCAAAAATGATTAAGGTCATCAGACAATATGATTTTTTCATTAATCTAGAGTTTCAAAAGATGAATTCGTTTTAAAGTTATTGTTGAATAATATTATCTAGATGGATAGTGACAGTTGTATACTCAAACCTTCCGCCATAGAGAATAAAATGAAACCAAGAACTCTACTAATTAAGTGGTGTTTATGAGCCAATGAAGAAACCTAACACAATAATAATAATTTCGACGGCTGAGTGGTTTCCTTTAAGAGTATATACGCCAATAAAGATCAATAATAAGTGACATGACTTTTTGACATTTAATAGAAATTTCTAAGATATTTTCAAATAAACTAATTATATGTAAGTTGTTCACATCAGGAGTACTCATCTGTTGTGGATGGTCATGTCACTCAAGTTAGACAAATAACTGAAGGTTGTATTGCATATATACTACGGACTGACATAAGTAACTGGAAAGAAATTATGGTAGCCATTAGTACTTGCTGACCATATAGAAGGAGGCTAAACACCATCAGTTCAAACAATCTGAATTGTGACTAGATACTTGAGTGAAGTGGTTACCCACGGAATTGAATATCCTGTTTTCAGATTAAAGGGCTCGAGATGAAAACCACTGAATACTTACACGCTTGGAATGTAAAACGTAACTGACTTGTTGTTGAAGAATTTTAAGGCAGAGAATTTCATTCCCCGTTATAAAGTGTATAGCAAGTGTGCCAGAATAGGACAATTTTCTAAAGCTGTCACTTAACTCCTTTACGAATCACATTTTCACTGCTAAGTAGTTCTGTTAAATAAAAGCATTACCGAATGCATATCTATATTAATCCATTTATATTAGTTCTCAGAAACAATATACAGTTTAATTGTGAAGGTATCTTAGGCTTTGGAATGTGATGAAATAGAATACCTATTTGGATCGGAAAGGAAAGCATGACTGCGTCAGGTAGGTGAAACAGGAGGATAATAAGAGCAGCATTCGCAGTGAACAAGTGATTAATCAGAGGAGTGGATTCTAGCAATTGTTACAGTGCGTAAGTTTTAATGCAGGGAAAATTCGAACTGTCATATTTGTGACTTCAAGGCATTATAACACCTTTATGACCACCCAGGACAAACTGTCTGGAGTTAACACATTAAATAAATCTCCATAGGGTTGAATATGAGTAGTCTACGGTAGACCAGTGTGGAGATACATGGATTTCACAGAGGTTTAGTGCTATAAAATGATTGCATAAATAACACGCTTCACGAACGCAAGTCGCCAACAGACATATATTGTTGGACTGACAGTCAAATAAAATCTACTATTTCAGTTTATTTTTAAGGTGATGAAGAACTCCTATGTCTATTTAGTCGGAAAATGGAAATGAGAAAAAGAGTAAAACATGAGATATTTGGGCAAATAAAGACCTATAGCACGTGATCTTCCTCGTTTATCCAGAATTTTCAAGTTTAAACGCGAATCTTTTTTGCGCTTTCGAATAATCTTTCTTCTCATTAACCCATTTATTGCATGTTTTAGTGAACACTACATTTCACAATAATATCTGAAGATATAATTTCACAAGTGAGTTTCCCAAGTGACCCATCATGTAACTCACTGTGTTTTTATCAACTTAACAGAATAGTTCTTTCGCCAAATTAACCTGGTTTTTCAGTAGAGGTAAATGATTCCCCGAAAATAATGACCACAGCACTCATCACTGAACATTGGATGCTGACGCTCACTTTTTAAGTAGACTTGTTTAGCTGAAGGCTTCCGGTCAAGCATCCATGCCATTTGGTACTCCGTCGTTTGTGCACGATCACTAACCAGCTAAGCAGTAATCTCGCACTCCGATTTGGTCCCAAAATATATATCGTAATTTGGACGATCAAATATCGTGTTTTGCTTTGCCTTTGGTTTAAGCGGAACGAATACTATAGAAGCTATGAGTATTAGATCGTACGTTAGTATAATTCGTACTATTCGTGTACGTCAATACCATCAGCCTCTAAAGGTCAAACTGAGCTAATCATTTCCCATGTTAACAAGGAAACTAGGGAAGTTTTATGACAGCGCAGCATAATTTATCGCAAAGTTTTAAGGCGACCTCCAAAACTGACAGAAATGTCCTGGAAAAAAAGTAGTGAGCATTTTTAGAAATACAAAAGCATTTGTATATGTTCCATACGGAACCGAGTCTCGCACCAAAGTGAGTTCATGCCTAACACTGATATTTTTATGGATCTAAATTGATCAAAATATCATGATTCGGTCAATATCACATCATAAATATTTTGAAGAGAAAATGAAGTGAAAACTCCCAGCTAGCATTGACTTGCGGCGCAATACAGAATGTTTGGGACAGACTTCAGAAATTTGGTCAGGCTAAGACACCTTGTCTCACGCTCGGCAGTGAGCCCAAAGTCTTCTGCTCCGAAGAAAATGCTAGCTAAGGCGTTTTAAAAACGCAGACACTTTCGTCAAACAGTTTTCAAAGAACTGTTGATGTTACTCATCAAAAATCAGGTGTATAACTCCCTTAAAATGGCCGAAATTTACCAAAATCTACACAGAAAAACGAAGAGGTGAAAAAATAATGTAACGCGAGGTCTCAATCTCCCACGTTTTCTAATCACCAGGCTACGAGTCCAATATCCAATATTGTTTTTACGATCTAGTATAAACCAATTTGATTTCTTTATGCTCACCTCTTGATTGTGAGTTAGAGGTTACTAATCTTCGGTAAACGTCCGCGTAGCTCGTCCCGCCACTCGACTGTCGTAGCTTCGGTTGACTCCAAAAGGAGTGGTGCAGGGATTAATTATATGTGTTTTGTAGTATGAGGTGTGTTAAGACTGCTACTACTGTGAACGGAGTTGATCCTTTCACCAGTCAGTCCTCCGGTATCATCGTCAATAGAAAAGAGATAATCATAATAGATATAATTAGTGAAGGTATTCAGACTAACAGACAGAAAAAGAATAAGAAAACGTAACAACAGTCAGTCAAACGGTATATATATTTAGGTGGTTACAGGCATCGACGTTCGCGAGTTGTACGGATTATACTAACTCAAGATCTTATACCAACAACCTCTATAGTGTTCGTTCTTCGAGTACCAAATGGTAAAGCAAAAGACCAGATTTTGTCGTCCAAAGTACGTATTATATTTCGGGACAAAATCGCGGGTAGAGGTGAATGCTTAGCTAGCTAGTAATCGTGCACGCACGTGACACGACGGAGCACCAAATGGCGGGGATGCTTGACCGTAAGCCTTCAGCTAAACAAGTCGACTTAAACAGTGATGGTCAGCATCCAATGTTGAGTGATGATTGCTGTGGTTAATAATTTTGGGGAATTATTTACCGCTACATATATATACCAGTAATAATGATAATAATAATAGGTGCAGTTAAAGCTGTCGGGAGAGTAAGACTGAAGAGAATGTAAAGAAGTAAAACTATCAGTTTAATTGTCTAACCTTGAATGGTGTATGCGATTTTAAGGGGATAGGCCATTTGGATTCAGTCCTTGTGTCTCTGCATGGTTGTCCAGCTTTCGCTTAAAGGCGTCCACAGATGGTGCCATAGCTACATCTGCCGGTAAGGAATTTCAGGGACGGCAAACCCGCAGGGAAAAGAAGTGGGACCGCACCCGGATCCTTGCCCTCTGATGAGCTATCCTTCTAGGATTTCCACGAGGGAGCCTATACCTACTCAATGGTAGAACACATTTGTTTGGGTCATTCTGATCATTTGTTATTTTGTAGGCAGTAATTAAATCCCCCCTAAGACGACGGTAACTAAGTGTGAATAGGCCTAATTTCTTCAGCCTTTCATCATATGGTTTATTTCGGAGACCAACCACTCCTTTCGTTGCCCGTCGTTGGACTCTTTCCAAGAGGTTGGCGTCTCTTCTAAGCAGTGGGGGTGCATTAATATTATGCACTTCAAGGTGTGGTCTGACGTATGTTTTATACAA